AGTTACAAAAGTGGCCAATTCAGCCTAAGTTCCGAGTTATGGCTTTTCAAATTTTTGATTAAGAGCATTTTCTCGCCCCACAAAAATTGTCACTACTTTTCATTAGATTGATGAAACTCTTTCATTTTTTTTTTATTTGGTAGCTTAAAATAAGAGCTTTATTTTAGGATAGTAAACATTTAATTATGCATCTTTTAACTTTATGAATTTTAAGGTTTTTTCAAAAAAGCACGTGTTCAGTATGATTATGTTCGTCTAGGACTTCACTCTTAAAATAAATGATGCTGAATCTTTTTTTATATTGTAGATATAAACAAGATTTACAACTTTTATTAAGATACTATAAAGTTTTAGTAGAGTTTTGCTGATGAAATTAAGTCTTTTCTTCAAAAAAACTGCAATTTTTTGACATAAATTCCCATAACTTTTCAGGATAGCCCAAAGGAGTGGATTTTTTTTACATGCTTTAAAAGCTCTTTGAATATACTATCAGAATATACAATCAGCTTGAGTTCGGTTACTGAGACAATCTCGAGCAATTTGACTTTGAAGTGTGACCAGAAATACATTTCAAAACATAAAAATTGAAAATAAATTTTGTACGTTTTTCAAAATTTTAGTTTTTTGCTTTAGATCAATAGATCTCATCAAGGCGCATATTTTGAGTATAAATATGTCATAGTTTGAACAATTTTTATACTCAAATTTCAACAAAATCATTTTTATATATTTTTTCAACAAATTTTACTTATTTTTCAATTATTTTAAATCAAAACTTATTTTAAATCTTCTGATTTTGATATTTTTGAAATTTCTATGTTTTTATGTTAAAATGTCATTCCTAGAGCAACAATTCATAAATTTTTTTTACTTTAAGGTAATTTTTTTATAATTTTTTGCAAATTACACTCATTTTTCTTATCTTTTTTTATCAAATTTTATTTTATAATAATTCTAAATATTGAAATTTAATGTAATATGCATAAAAATACTCTTAAATATTTAAAAATCATATTTTATCCAATTAACGTAGGAATAAAGCTGGAATGAGCAAAGGTAATTCTCCTTTCGATTCAGAACATACAGTAGCGCTCAAAAGTATCGGACCACATATAAAAAAACACAATTTTCTCATTTAAAATGTTTTTGTTGCATCTAGAACGCTGAACTTTTTATCAAATACGTATTTTACCATAATATATTAAAAAACGAATCTTGCTACTTATATTATTTAATATTTTCTAACGCAAAAAATAAATTTCAAAAAAATATGCGCTCAAAAGTATCGGACCAGATTCGAATTTTTTAAAAAAAAATTCTTTTATTTACTTTAGAAATCAAGTAAGTATTAATTTAACTAGGTGATATATTTAAATACAAGTTAACATTATTTTAAGAATGGTTAAGATAAAGGAGATATCAGAAAACGTCAGAAAATTGATTATTCGTGCTGTACAAGAGAAGAAATCACATAGAGAAGTTGCAACACTTTTTGGCGTAAGCAAGACGTCGGTAACTAATCTCAAGCGCTTTAGAGAGAGAAATAATGTCCAAAATAACCCAAGAAGTGGAAGGCCTAAAGTAACGACAGAAAGAGATGACAAAATCCTCGTAAGAATGTCAAAAAGGGATCCTCGCAAGACAGCAGTCGAACTTAATGAAACATTACAAAAAAAACATGCTGTAAAATGCAGTGTTTCTACTACGAAACGTCGTTTATGCAAGGCTGGACTATGTGGACGACGTCCTGCGAAGAAGCCATTAATCTCTGTGAAGAATAGGAAAGCCCGATTAAAATTCGCGAAGGATCATTTAAATTGGACATCCAAAGAGTGGTCAAAAGTTTTTTGGTCTGATGAATCAAAGTTTATGGTGTTTGAGAGCGATGGTATGAAGTATGTTCGTCGTCCAGAAAGTCAGAGATTCAATCCAAAATATCAGTTGCCAACTGTAAAACATGGTGGCGGTTCAGTTATGGTGTGGGGTGCGTTTAGACGCGATATGGTTGGTCCGATTCATCGCATAAATGGAATAATGGATCAAGTGGTCTATAAGGACATCATCGCCAATAAAATGCTGCCATTTGCTAAAGACAAGATGCCACGGGGATGGATATTTCAGCAGGATAATGATCCTAAGCATACAGCGAAATCCATCAAAGAATTCTTCAAGAACAAAAAAAATCGATTGTTGGAATGGCCATCTCAGAGTCCTGATCCCAATCCTATTGAGCACCTTTGGGAGCATATAGATCGTAAAATGAAAGGCAACAGACCACGGAATAAGGAAGAATTATTTAATAACATCAATGAGTGTTGGCAAAATATTCCATTGGATGTTATCATCAAATTGGTGGATTCGATGCCTAGTCGTTGCAAAGCAGTTATAGCCGCAATTGGCTATGCAGCGAAATATCAATAAAATTTTTTGTTTGAGCTTTTTCTAGTCCTTAAAACAATTTTTTTTAAAAAATTCGAATCTGGTCCGATACTTTTGAGCGCATATTTTTTTGAAATTTATTTTTTGCGTTAGAAAATATTAAATAATATAAGTAGCAAGATTCGTTTTTTAATATATTATGGTAAAATACGTATTTGATAAAAAATTCAGCGTTCTAGATGCAACAAAAACATTTTAAATGAGAAAATTGTGTTTTTTTATATGTGGTCCGATACTTTTGAGCGCTACTGTATAAGCATCCAATCAACTATTTTTAATAAATTTCGGTATACATACTTATTTCCATGCAATTGTAAAGCATAAACTATCACCACGAATTATTAAAATTAAAGACCTATAATGAAAATAGTTTTTAAAAAGGAAAACGCTATCAACCATTTTCCAATCTATCAAATTTATTGTGACAATTTTTATCCAATTTTGAATGGTTCCTTATAGTTTTTTAGCATATTTCATTGATTTTTCAAATTTTTGTCTTTGCATATACTTTTTTTACTGATCTGTGGGCGCAACGTGATACATTTCAGATCCGTTCTGACAATTTATCATTATAAGGTAATCTTGTAGCTCTCGTTCCTATTTCTCCCGCTACACTTCATGTTCCTCATCCGTTCCTTAATCCAAATATCTCATGGCTTGATCTCGTACATTAAGCAGTCGAAGTATCTAAACTTCTGAAAAAGAACAAATTTGGAAATGGCTGGATTGGAACCGACGACCATCGAGTTACCATACCAAATTTGAGCCAATCGCCTTACTTATTTGACCAGCGAGGCACTTAAATCCTTATACATAGACAAAAATAGATTCAAGAACCATCATTTAGTTTTGATAAATTTCGAAACGATGCAATCTTTTCAAACTTTTGTATATATACTTTATATATTTCATACTGGTAAATTCCAGTCACCATTAGTGAGTCCAGTCAGATTATAAATATTGAGCTTTCAACTTCCGGACCTGAAAGGCAGTTTATGCTTTACAATTGCATGGAAATAAGTATGTATACCGAAATTTATTAAAAATAGTTGATTGGATGCTTATATGTTCTGAATCGAAAGGAGAATTACCTTCAAATTAAAGCAACATATCAAAGCTTTGCTCATTCCAGCTTTATTCCTACGTTAATTGGATAAAATATGATTTTTAAATATTTAAGAGTATTTTTATGCATATTACATTAAATTTCAATATTTAGAATTATTATAAAATAAAATTTGATAAAAAAAGATAAGAAAAATGAGTGTAATTTGCAAAAAATTATAAAAAAATTACCTTAAAGTAAAAAAAATTTATGAATTGTTGCTCTAGGAATGACATTTTAACATAAAAACATAGAAATTTCAAAAATATCAAAATCAGAAGATTTAAAATAAGTTTTGATTTAAAATAATTGAAAAATAAGTAAAATTTGTTGAAAAAATATATAAAAATGATTTTGTTGAAATTTGAGTATAAAAATTGTTCAAACTATGACATATTTATACTCAAAATATGCGCCTTGATGAGATCTATTGATCTAAAGCAAAAAACTAAAATTTTGAAAAACGTACAAAATTTATTTTCAATTTTTATGTTTTGAAATGTATTTCTGGTCACACTTCAAAGTCAAATTGCTCGAGATTGTCTCAGTAACCGAACTCAAGCTGATTGTATATTCTGATAGTATATTCAAAGAGCTTTTAAAGCATGTAAAAAAAATCCACTCCTTTGGGCTATCCTGAAAAGTTATGGGAATTTATGTCAAAAAATTGCAGTTTTTTTGAAGAAAATACTTAATTTCATCAGCAAAACTCTACTAAAACTTTATGGTATCTTAATAAAAGTTGTAGATCTTGTTTATATCTACAATATAAAAAAAGGTTCAGCATCATTTATTTTAAGAGTGAAGTCCTAGACGAACATAATCATACTGAACACGTGCTTTTTTGAAAAAACCTTAAAATTCATAAAGTTAAAAGATGCATAATTAAATGTTTACTATCCTAAAATAAAGCTCTTATTTTAAGCTACCAAATAAAAAAAAAATGAAAGAGTTTCATCAATCTAATGAAAAGTAGTGACAATTTTTGTGGGGCGAGAAAATGCTCTTAATCAAAAATTTGAAAAGCCATAACTCGGAACTTAGGCTGAATTGGCCACTTTTGTAACTATTTTCATAAATGGGAATGAAAGAGCTATCATTTAGACCAAAAAAATAATTTTCGGAAAAGTTTTCGATTTCTGGCCCATAGCGCGCTGCTGTAAGGTCATGCTTGTATTTTAAAAGCGATAATGTAAAGGGCTAATAAACATGATTTCTAGACCTCTTCCCTGCTCTGTCACAAAATTTCTGAAGAAAAAAAAAACTCCTTTATTTGAGTTGTCACAAAATAAATGTTGGACGTCATAAGTGAACGGCCCCTAATTTAAAATTTTTTTAATAATTTGAAGGTTATTTTATTTGTTGGAAATCTCAAATTTTCAAGAGATGTTTCTAAATATTTCAAATCACAAAAACCAAAAGAACTAATTGAATGTTTAACAAACATCCATAAAATACCATCAATTTAATCAACCATCCTTTCTTTAATGCTAATATTATATCCCTGAGCAGAATTCATCGTTATGTGGAGCTGAAAATTCACATCTTCCAATTTCATGTCTGAATCGACTTCATAACGTAGTAAAATATTGGCAAGCTGAATCTTCATCAAAAGCATCGCGTAACGCCATCCAATACACATTCGTGGACCTTTTGCGAATGGTATATAAGCATATGATGGAATTTTCTCGAAGTTTTCTTTATCAAATCTTTCTGGACGGAAGTGGTCAGCATCTTCACCCCAAATCTTCTTTGATCGATGAATTCTAAGAATTGGAACTGTAATGAAAGTATTAGCTGGCAGAATGTATCCTTCACTGATTTCGATGTCTTTTGAATTAATGCGTAGGATGTAAGGAACAACAGGCACCAATCGCATTGTTTCATTAATAACCATTTCAAGGTAGTGAAGCTCGCTGATCTTTTCAAAATCCAAATATGGAGCATCAAGTGTGTTTCCAAAAATTTCATGAAGCTCATCGACTACTTTTTGTTGGACATCCTTATGCATTCCAAGTAACATGAGTGCTGTTGATGAAGCAATTGCTGATGTATCTTGAGCAGCTAACATTACTGTGCTGATTTCATCGTGAATTTCCTCATCTGAGAAATTATATTTTGGATTAACGAGAGCTTGAATGAATGACTTTGACTTTTCATTATTATTATCTTCCTGCTCTAATAAGTTCTTGGCATTGTTGATGACATCTTTTGTAAAGACAACTCCGCTGTCTGTCAGAACTTTGTCTTGCTGTCGACTCATTTTTGTACAGTTGAAGATGCAGTTTAGATGAAGCCATGGTTGAAATATTCGGATTGTGATGATTTCCAGGAATCTAGAGAAGACAAAACAGCTAGTTCTAACAAGCTGCTTATATTTTAAATTAAATACTTACTTCTCTAAGTTTTCAATAAAGGCATTTTTAACTTCACTTTTCTGATTCTGGATATCCACATCATAGTCCATAACCTTTAATATTGTTTCCAATGTCAAGGCAGTCATTGAATAGAACACATTGAAGTCTCCTTTTCCTTCCAACTTCTTGAAATTTTCCATCAAAATTTTCACTTTTGCATTGAAAATTGGAATTATATTCAATAAGTTCTTAGCGCCAAAATAAGGATTGAGGAGCTTCCGATGTGAATGCCAGTAATTTAAGTCACCAAACAACGAACCTTTTAAGATATTTGCAAATTTTATTACAAATGGTTTGTCGAGACAGTCTTTGGAGTTTAGAACTTTCTTAACATCCTCTGGCTTAACGACACCAACAAATAAATATGGTCCAATCCATGCTTTAGTGCAGACCTCATTTCCATTAAATGCTTCATTAGCAATATGGAATAACTTTTTGCCATCAGCTGTTAGAATTTGGTAAATTCCTCTGAGTGAATAGTCGAAGCTACTTTGTGGAATTTTGTGTGCCAAATAATAAAATCTTCGATGGACCCAAAAATGTTTGGCCACAAAAATTACAATAAAAAATATTAAAACTTCAGTCACGATCATTTTGATGCTTTACTTCGGACGTTCTTGAAGTAACTGAACAGCATCGGGAATATTTTTGAGTTAAATTGTTTGAATTATAGTTGAAAAATACCCAAATAAAGTTTTATGGCACCAAAATTATTGAGCATTGATTTTGTTTCTTAGGTGCGAAAATCTTTAATGTTTGAGTTTGATTACTAATGGTCAATATCAGGTCAATATTCAATGTTAAGTAATTGAAAGCATGAACAGCATTCAATAGAAATTGTTTTATTCAGTTTTTACAATTTTTAAGGGTTTATTCATAAGGCTCATTTAATGATGGATTTGAAGGTATAAGCTTAATCCTACTCTCAATGATTCTTCAATAAGCTTAAGAAATCACTCTTTCTTTAATGCTCATTTTATATCCTTGACAGATTTTCATTGTTCCATTGAATTTAAAGTCCAATTCGTCCATCTTTAATCGTGTATCGACTTCGTAACGCAGTAAAATATTGGCAAGCTGAATCTTCATCAAAAGCATTGCATAACGCCATCCAACACACATTCTAGGTCCTTTTGTAAATGGAATGAAGGCATAAGGATGAATATTCTCGAAGTTTTCCTTTTCAAACCTTTCTGGACGGAAGTGGTTAGCATCTTCGCCCCAAATTTTAGTGGATCTATGAAGTTCAAACATTGGAATTACTATATTAGTTTTTGCTGGCAGGATGCATCCATTGCTGATCTCTAAGTCTGTTGAGTTCGTGCGAAGAATAAAAGGAACAACAGGAAATAATCGCATAATTTCATTTATTACCATTTCTAGGTAATGCAGTTCGCTAATCTTCTCATAATCCAAATACGGAGCATCAAGTGTCTTTCCGAAAATTCCATGAAGCTCCTTGACTACTTTTTGTTGGACATCTTTATGCATTCCAAGTAACATAAGTGCTGTTGATGTAACAGTCGATGACGTATCTTGAGCAGTAAATATCATAGTTTTAACTTCATCCTCAATTTCCACTTCTGACAAGTTATTTCTTGGATCCATTAAAGCTCGAATAAATGTTTTAGATTTTTCATTTTGATTGCTGTCGTTTTTGACTGTCAACTGCTGTCTTATGTGATTAATTATATGTTTTGTAAATTTCAAACTGCTTTTAGATATAGAAGTGAGTTGGTCTTTGTACATTTTTGTGTGTCTGAAGATAAAATCAGGATAAAGCCATATTTTGAAGCAACGGATTGTCACGATGTCAAAGTATCTAAAATAATTTAAATGTTTCATATTCTTAGCTTTTGCTGCTAAAATAAATTTTTAATATTCACCTTTCTAAATTCTCAACAAAAGCACTTCTAACTTCACTTTTCTGATTCTGGATGTCCACATCGTACTCCATAACATTCATTATTGTTTCTAATGTCAATGCAGACATTGAATGGAAAACATCATATTCACCTTTATCTTCAAATGTCTGCAAATTGTCCATCAAAGTTTTAACTTTTTCGTTAAAAATCGGAATTATGTTCAGCAAGTTTTTGGCACCAAAATATGGATTGATGATTTTTCTGTGAGAATGCCAGTACTTAATGTCACCGTAAATTGTGCCTTTCAAGACGCCCAAGAACTTCATAAAGAATGGCTTATCAATGCATTCTTTAGAGTTCAAAATAATTTTAACATCCTCAGGCTCCACAACTCCAACAAAGAAAAGTGGTCCAATCCACGACTTGCTGCAAACTTTTTTATTTTTGAATGATTTATCAAATACTTCGAAAATTGTTTTTGTATCTGCTGTCAAAAAGCTATAAAGTGTTAGAAATGAATAATCTAAGTTGCTTTTAGGAATTTTGCGTGCCAAATTGAAAAACTTTCGATTATCCCAAAAGTATTTGAACACCAAAAATGCAATGAAAAATATTAAAAACTCCAAAACCACCATTTTTATTTAAAGGCAATCGCAGACTGGAGATAATTTTGGATAGAAACTAAAATAAGTAGAGAACTAATTCATCTTTTTATATTCAAAAACTTGCTTATTAATTCAAATCTAACATTTTACTTGGATTATTTTTTTGTGTCAGTACATTAAGTTTCTTATTGTCTTTTAAGCTATTAATGATTAATCATGCACAGATGTGATTTAAATATTTTTAAGACTGTTGACAATATAACCTGTTTAAGTTCATATCCAAATTAGGACAGTGTTGTTGTTTTAAATATTGTTGTAGTCATCATGAATATTTAAAACTTCTATCAAGTCATAAAGATCTAATCTATATTTTAAACCATGACTTGCTGTTAGTAAAATTATTATCTTGCCCTTACTTTGAGACTTATTTTATATCCTTGACAAACATTCATTGTAATGTTATACTGGAATTCTAATTCCTCTAATTTTAAGCTTGTGTCAACTTCATAACGTAATAAAATGTTTGCAAGCTGGATTTTCATCAAGAGCATCGCGTAACGCCATCCAATACACATTCTTGGTCCTTTTGCGAATGGAATGTAAGCATATGATGGAATCTTCTCGAAGATTTCTTTGCCAAACCTTTCTGGACGAAATTGTTCTGCATCTTCACCCCAAATTTTTTTTGATCGATGAATTTCAAAAATTGGAATCACTATGTAAGTTCCTGTGGGTATGACATATCCTTCACTGATCCCAATATCAACAGAATTCTCACGAAATACATAAGGAACGACCGGAAGTAACCTCATTGTTTCATTAATAACCATTTCCAGATAATGAAGCTCATTAATCTTCTCATAATCTAAGTATGGAGCATCAAGTGTCTTTCCGAAAATTTCATGAAGCTCATCGACTACTTTTTGTTGGACATCTTTGTGCATGGCAAGTAACAAAAGAGTTGAGGATGAGGAAATTGCTGAAGTGTCATGTGCAGCCAATACAACAGTATCAATTTCATCATGAATCTCATCACTTGAAAATCCAGTTTTAGGATTGACTAAAGCCCTTATGAATGTTTTTGATTTTTCATTGTTATTGACATCTCCTTTTTGTAGACGAAGAGCGTTCTGAATGATGTCGTGTGAAAATCCCATTGAAGTTTTTGATGCAGTTTCAAGCTGCTTCTGATATAACTTTGTAGATTTGAAAATTATGTCAGGATGTAACCAAAATTTGAATGCTCGAACTGTGACAATTTTTAAGAACCTAAAAGAATTAAAGTTTGAAGCTTATCAATGATTTAAATTCAAAACAGCACTTTATAGCTACTGCAACTCAATCTTTAAAACTCACTTTTCTAAATTTTTGATAAAAACATCACGAACTTCACTTTTCTGATTCTGTAGATCCACATCATACTCCATAACTTTAATGATTGTTTCCAATGTTAAGGCAGTCATTGAATATAAAACATTGAATTCTCCTGTTCCTTCCATTTTCTTCAAATTCGTCATCAAGACTTTCACTTTATTGTTGAAAATTGGAATGACATTCCGCAAACTTCTAGCACCAAAATATGGATTGAGGAGCTTCCGATGTGAATGCCAATATTCTACATCTCCAAATAATGAACCTTTTGGCATGTTTGTGAATTTTAAAAATCTTGGCTTGTCAAGACAATCCTTAGAATTCAGCACGAGTTTGACATCTTCAGGCTTAACAATTCCCACAAATAAGAATAGTCCAAACCATGACTTGGTGCACACATTGTTATTAGCAAAACCCTCTCTTATTATTCTGAAAATTGTTTTATTGTCTGCTTTTAAAACTTTGTATAGTCCCTTAATTGAGTAATCGAAACTGCTCAGTGGAACTTTATTCGCCAAATAGAAAAATCTTCGATAATTCCAGAAATATTTAACCACAAGAAATGCAGCAGTAAATAATAAAGCTTCTATTATGACCATTTCGATAATTTTAGTTTAAATGACTGCTGACTACTGACCATTAAGATATAGAAGTATTTATTTTATATACAGATTAAAATAAACAACTTCAAGTAAATTAAATAACTGGTTTTGATACATTGTCATTTTAAGATTAAGTATAGGGCCAATGCACTAAAATTGAAATTGAGATTTACGTCTACACAGTCAGTGCCTTGATTGAGTATCGTTTTTACATTTGGGAGAATTGACTTTATATCTTCGGTTTAAACTTTCCTGTTTCTTTTCTGAGGTTGATTTCTATGGATTCAATAAGTGAAGGATCTTTCACAGGTAAATTTGAGAACTATAAGACATCATAAATGACTGACACCTGAATAAAATTTTTGATCTAAATAATATCTTTATTTATTCTGTTATTAATAATTAAAACGTAACTTATAAACAATTATTTTTAATTAAATAAAGAATTTCAGATATTTCAATCAATCGATGATCCTTTCCTTGAGACTTATTTTGTACCCCTGAGACACATTCATCGTAATATTAAACTGATACTCTAATTCCTCGAATTTCAAGCTTGTATCGACTTCATAACGTAATAAAATGTTTGCAAGCTGGATTTTCATCAAGAGCATCGCGTAACGCCATCCAATACATATTCTTGGTCCTTTTGCGAATGGAATGTAAGCATATGATGGAATCTTCTCGGAGTTTTCCTTTTCAAACCTTTCTGGACGAAATTGATCAGCATCTTCACCCCAAATTTTTTTTGATCGATGAATTTCAAAAATTGGAATCACTATGTAAGTTCCTGTGGGTATGACATATCCTTCACTGATCCCAATATCAACAGAATTCTCACGAAATACATAAGGAACGACCGGAAGTAATCTCATGGTTTCGTTAATAACCATTTCCAGATAATGAAGCTCATTAATCTTCTCATAATCTAAGTATGGAGCATCAAGTGTCTTTCCGAAAATTCTATGAAGCTCATCGACCACTTTTCGTTGGACATCTTTGTACATAGCCAGTAGCAGAAGTGTCGATGACGAAGCAATTGCTGAAGTGTCTTGAGCAGCCAATACAACAGTATGAACTTCATCTTGAATCTCATCACTTGAAAATCCATTTTTAGGATTGACTAAAGCCCTTATGAAGGTCTTTGACCTTTCATTGTTGTTGACATCTTCTTGCAATAAATTTTGAGCGTTCTGAATGATGTTTTGTGAAAATCCCATTGCAGTTTTTGATGCAGTTTCAAGCTGCTTCTGATATAACTTTGTAGATTTGAAAATTATGTCAGGATGTAACCAAAATTTGAATGCTCGAACTGTGACAATTTTTAAGAACCTAAAAGAATTAAAGTTTGAAGCTTATCAATGATTTAAATTCAAAACAGCACTTTATAGCTACTGCAACTCAATCTTTAAAACTCACTTTTCTAAATTTTTGATAAAAACATCACGAACTTCACTTTTCTGATTCTGTAGATCCACATCATACTCCATAACTTTAATGATTGTTTCCAATGTTAAGGCAGTCATTGAATATAAAACATTGAATTCTCCTGTTCCTTCCATTTTCTTCAAATTCGTCATCAAGACTTTCACTTTATTGTTGAAAATTGGAATGACATTCCGCAAACTTCTAGCACCAAAATATGGATTGAGGAGCTTCCGATGTGAATGCCAATATTCTACATCTCCAAATAATGAACCTTTTGGCATGTTTGTGAATTTTAAAAATCTTGGCTTGTCAAGACAATCCTTAGAATTCAGCACGAGTTTGACATCTTCAGGCTTAACAATTCCCACAAATAAGAATAGTCCAAACCATGACTTGGTGCACACATTGTTATTAGCAAAACCCTCTCTTATTATTCTGAAAATTGTTTTATTGTCTGCTTTTAAAACTTTGTATAGTCCCTTAATTGAGTAATCGAAACTGCTCAGTGGAACTTTATTCGCCAAATAGAAAAATCTTCGATAATTCCAGAAATATTTAACCACAAGAAATGCAGCAGTAAATAATAAAGCTTCTATTATGACCATTTCGATAATTTTAGTTTAAAGGACTGCTGACTACTGACCATTAAGATATAGAAGTATTTATTTTATATACAGATTAAAATAAACAACTTCAAGTAAATTAAATAACTGGTTTTGATACATTGTCATTTTAAGATTAAGTATAGGGCCAATGCACTAAAATTGAAATTGAGATTTACGTCTACACAGTCAGAGCCTTGATTGAGTATCATTTTTACATTTGGGAGAATTGACTTTATATCTTCGGTTTAAACTTTCCTGTTTCTTTTCTGAGGTTGATTTCTATGGATTCAATAAGTGAAGGATCTTTCACAGGTAAATTTGAGAACTATAAGACATCATAAATGACTGACACCTGAATAAAATTTTTGATCTAAATAATGTCTTTATTTATTCTGTTATTAATAATTAAAACGTAACTTATAAACAATTATTTTTAATTAAATAAAGAATTTCAGATATTTCAATCAATCGATGATCCTTTCCTTGAGACTTATTTTGTACCCCTGACACACATTCATCGTAATATTAAACTGATACTCTAATTCCTCGAATTTCAAGCTTGTATCGACTTCATAACGTAATAAAATGTTTGCAAGCTGGATTTTCATCAAGAGCATCGCGTAACGCCATCCAATACACATTCTTGGTCCTTTTGCGAATGGAATGTAAGCATATGCTGGGATCTTTTCAAAGATTTCTTTTTCAAACCTTTCTGGAAGAAATTGATCCGCATCTTCACCCCAAATAGTTTTTGATCGATGAATTTCAAAAATTGGAATCACTATGTAAGTTCCTGTGGGTATGACATATCCCTCGCTGATCCCAATATCAACAGAATTCTCACGAAATACATAAGGAACGACCGGAAGTAATCTCATGGTTTCATTAATAACCATTTCCAGATAGTGAAGCTCATTAATCTTCTCATAATCTAAGTATGGAGCATCAAGTGTCTTTCCGAAAATTCTATGAAGCTCATCGACCACTTTTCGTTGGACATCTTTGTACATAGCCAGTAGCAGAAGTGTCGATGACGAAGCAATTGCTGAAGTGTCTTGAGCAGCCAATACAACAGTATGAACTTCATCTTGAATCTCATCACTTGAAAATCCATTTTTAGGATTGACTAAAGCCCTTATGAAGGTCTTTGACCTTTCATTGTTGTTGACATCTTCTTGCAATAAATTTTGAGCGTTCTGAATGATGTTTTGTGAAAATCCCATTGCAGTTTTTGATGCAGTTTCAAGCTGCTTCTGATATAACTTTGTAGATTTGAAAATTATGTCAGGATGTAACCAAAATTTGAATGCTCGAACTGTGACTATTTTTAAGAACCTAAAAGAATTAAAATTTAAAGCTTAGCAACGATTAAAATCTGACACAGCACTTTATAGCTACTGCAACTCAATCTTTAAAACTCACTTCTCCAAATTTTCGATAAAAACATCACGAACTTCACTTTTCTGATTCTGTAGATCCACATCATACTCCATAACTTTAATGATTGTTTCTAATGTTAAGGCAGTCATTGAATATAAAACATTGAATTCTCCTGTTCCTTCCAACTTCTTCAAATTCGTCATCAAGACTTTCACTTTATTGTTGAAAATTGGAATGACATTCCGCAAGCTTCTAGCACCAAAATATGGATTGAGGAGCTTCCGATGTGAATGCCAATATTCTACATCTCCAAATAATGAACCTTTTGGCATGTTTGGGAATTTCAAGAATCTTGGCTTGTCGAGACAATCCTTAGAATTTAACACGAGTTTGACATCTTCAGGCTTAACAATTCCCACAAATAAGAATAGTCCAAACCATGACTTGGTGCACACTTTATTGTTAGCAAAAGATTCTCTCAGCATCAGAAAAATTGTTTTATTGTCAGCATTCATTGCTTTGTAAAGTCCCTTAATTGAATAGTCGAAGCTACTCAAAGGAATTTTATGTGCCAGATAAAAAAATCTTCGATAATCCCAAATGTATTTAGCCACAAGAAATGCAGCAGTAAATAATAAAGCTTCTGTGATAATCATGTTGATGGTCTCTACTACAAGTTTCTTTACAGACTGACTGACTAGCTTCAAAAAATCTGAATTATTTTAAAATAATTTGGTACTTCATCGATCTACTTAAGGGACAAGAGGTTTAAGAGCTTTCGTATGTACTTAACTAGCTTTACGAATAGTTTTGATGTCATTAGTTTTTTTTTTGGAATATGATCATACTGAAGTTTGTGAAAATATCTTTGTAGGAAGTGGGAACTTGGTTGTAGATAGTCCAAATTATTATATTGTAGACTTAAAATTCCATCCTGAAAGAAAATTCAGAAAAAAAAGTTTTAAGACGTGGGCTTAGTGTCAAACTACTACAAACTTCGCTTATCAATGTTCACACTTCTAATATTGATAAAATACACAAATGTCTTGATTGTATGTGCGCTTATCACTGTTTGTGTAATGCTGATAGCAGTTAATGAAAATAAATTTATTTTTACATAACCGACTCAGTCCGAAAGTGCATTTCAAAGGAATCAGTTGTTCTGTGATTCAAAAATATTTATTTTATTAAGGGTCAAAGTCAACATTCAATCATGACATTTTTATTACAAATGATTGTGATATTAGTGCTCTCTTATGTAGCTTACAAATTTATTAAAAGCCAAAGAAATTTAAAGAATTGTTTGCCAAATAAGGTAGTTCTGATAACAGGTGAGGAATTAGGGCTAATGAGTCACGGAAAATCTCTAATTATTATGACTTGTGTGATTATGAAATTTGATAATTTTCTCGTACAGCACATTATCACATATGTGTCAATGTACTGTATTTTCTTGTTATTGTTGTTTCTGGGGAACTTCATTTGAGATTGTAATAATTTGTTGTCATAGCTGCGTCAATATTTTTGTACAATGTGCTTAGTTTCACACAAGCTTTGAACTAATTTACTATGGAAAGGACACTTAATTGTCATGACGTTGCCTTAGAGTCATGACTTTACTCAAGTTGTACAAGGTTTGGTTTCTACTGCTCTCCTAGGGAATAAATCTTATGCTCCATTCTTTTAAATAAATAAAGGCTGATTGTGAATATGAGAGGTCCCCATTAATGCATTTACTCAATGACTTCCTGGTTTGTTAAATTCTCATCTTTCTTTTTAGGAGCATCCTCAGGAATCGGTGAAGCTTTAGCTCACTCTTTTTATGTTGCCGGCTGTCGACTGATCTTAACAGCACGCAGAAAGGACGAGCTTGAACGTGTTAGAAAAGATTTACTTGAGATTCATTCTACAAAAGTGACACATCCGCCAGTTGTGATTACTATGGACCTTACAGATATCAAGTCATTAAAAGAAAAGGCTGAACAAGCGTTAAACATTCATGGACAAATCGATATTGTAGTCAATAATGGAGGAATTGTGTATTATGGTGAAGTTGTGAATACAAAGCATGAAGATGTTATGAAGGTCATGATGACAAATTATTTTGGAACTGTTGAGCTCACAAAAGCTTTTCTTCCGTCAATGATTAAAAAGAAAAAGGGCAGAATTGTTTGCATTTCTAGTGTCAATGGGAAAATTGCTACGCCTTATGCTGCTCCATATGCTGCATCTAAATTTGCATTACAAGCTTTCTGTGATTCTCTTCGTGCTGAAGTCTATGATGACAATTTAAAAGTCACAATAATTAGTCCTGGATATGTAGCAACTCCAATTCTTAGAAATGGAATCACATCAACTGGGAAACTTCCAGAAAAAAGAGATCCAGACATAAGTGATGGAATTAGACCTGATGATTTAGCAAATGGTGTATTAAGAGCAGTATTAGATGACAAAAAGGATGTGATCATATCCCAACTTTATGTTGAAGCTGCTTATTGGCTTAGCTTTTTATGTCCAAGCTTATTTCATTGGATTATGACAATTCGTGCACGCACCGGACAAGATAAACCATAAGTAGTAGACAAATATAAATTAAGAAGCTGTAATGAGATGCGTAAAGACAATTGACTTACGTCATATCTGAAGCAGCAAGAAGAAAAGTAAACAAGAAATTGTGTTGAAGACTTAAGACTTAAATAAACTCGAAGTATGTTGGAGAATTAATGTAAATTTTAGTTCCGTTATTTATGATTATCTATCAGGTTGGTTATATTTTAGTAAGTTTTGATTTTAATATCTTGTGAGTCGTGCAAGGTTTTTGTAGAAATGATCAGATGCTGCTTGGCCACAGACAATCTGTTGCAATCTATATTTTGGGGTCAAAAAACAAGAAATTCCTTTTTTTGCTGCAATTAAAATTTATTCAAATATTGTCAATGAAAGCTACTAAAAATAAACTAACATATCAATCGACCATAGTTCCCTTACAAGCTACAGTTCCTTATCAGAACTACATTTCAGATTCAACTGGTGCGTCAGTTTGCTTGCCCTTATTTTTCTTTTCCTTCTTTTCTTTCTTACCACCCTTCTTTGCAGCACGACCTTCACCACGTCCTTCATGCTCGCATGGGCATTGAGCCATCTTTTCGTTCAATTCCTTACATTCAGTGCTATCAACTGGTGTTGGGCATGCAGTGTGTAAGCTTTTGAAGACACATTTCATGATCATTCCATTTAATTTGTCACAAGCTTTCTTGTCATTTGAAGATTGTTTTTCACTTTGCTTATTCTTGCCAGCTTTAGCCTTACGTTGTGCTTTGGCGGTAGCTGTAATAATTAATCATTAGACGTGATGAAATACTTAACAAGACTAAACTTACCATTAGCAAAGCATGATGACACAGCATTTGAAACAATTGGAGCCCATTCAGAGGAAGCTCCATTCAACAATTGCTGACTAAGAAGATCACTTGAGACATTACCATCAGGTCCCAAAATTCCAGCACTCTCGATGACACATGGCATTAAGCATTTGTAAAATTGCTTGTTTCCAGAGCCATGTCTTCCTCGTCCACGTTTTTCTGGAGCTGCAGTAGTAACTGATGGATCAGCTGAAGCAGATTGATTGCATTGAAGAGCACATTTATCGAAATGTTCTTTTAAACTTGGCATTCCTGGACAACAATCAGTTGGCTTTACTGTCAATTCCTTTGAACATACTGGATTCTTCGATTGCTTTCCATTTTTGTCGTGATCAGCTACAGTTGCTGCAACAATGCATGCTAATACAATAAATAACTTCATCTTTGATTTCTAATAGTAAGCTAGAACTGATTTCAATTTTATTTCTACCGCTGTTTTTATAGGAAAAGTTATGGTCAGTCAATGGAACAGCTACAAGAAAATTCTTGTAAACTTTTTTAATTCTTTTCGACATTGATGTGTCATTGATGATACATGGTCTAGGTTGGTGTTAACATAGGAAGGAAAAGCAGGTGTGATCACTTAGTGTTAGTCATAGCTTAAATTATTATTTTTTGCTGAAAAAAACAAAATAAATTTTAAAAAATACAAATGGTCACAATTAAGGTTTTGGTATTGCTCAAAATTTGAAAAACTCTTCCTCAAATTATATTTGAACTTATAAATACATATTTATTCTAAATAATTTAGTCCTTATAATTTTATCACAATTTTAGTCACATTGCCAAAGAGAATTTCAGTACCAAACATTTGTACTGTCTTTAAAATTTTAAATCATCTACTGATTTTTGAAAAAACAGCTCGAATCAAGCAAACATCCTCCATGACATAACAATAATACTAGCTTCATTTCGAGGTCAACAAAGCTCTATTTCAGGATTTTCACAATCTGGTTCGAATGTGTAGAAATCCAAACCTGTATCTATGTAATCTCTTCGTGAATTAGCTTTAAAACTAGTGTCAACAACTCTATTCGACGGAACTTCTACACTGCAATTCATAAAGAAGTTTGCTGACAAGTCTGGTGCCATTCTCTGCAGCACCCAATTGCTGTTCATAAATTCAAAGTAGTATTCATTTTTAAAGAAGTAAGTAATGTCTTTGTATGTAAATGCTGTGTCCATGCCATAAACATCTTTAAATGCATTTGATATTCTGTTGCTCTTTCCTATAACCATCATTTTATGTTCATCAAATCTGTTATAATAATCGCCAATGAAAATGTAAGTTTGCTGACTGTCGAGTCTTCTAAAAATAGCATCGATCTTAAGGATGCTTGAGTCAATGCCTAGATCATCTAATTTAAACATTTTGTCTAGTTGAGTGCCAATAAAAGAATACACAGCTTGGCCAATAAAGAAGAGCACTTTTCCATCTGTAGCTTGGTAAACAGCATCAACATGAGTAATCCTATGTGGCAATTGCCTCCAACGAGATCGAATTTCCACAACATCCATTCTCGAGCTAAACATAAATTTTCCCTTAAATGCTATAATCTCGCCATTAATCAATGCAATTGCATCATAAGATGTATTACATTTGTCTGGTAAACGTGGAGTGAGGTCCCAGATAAGACGATCTTCTCCACTATCTTGAGGCTTAGCTAATGGGATGTATTTTCTGTTAGGTGGAACTCCATAGATTGAGTGTATTTCGCGAATGTCATCTTCGGTAAGGGTTGAAGTGTGCTTAGGATAGAACTCGTACATAACTGCTTCAGCGTCAAGTGTGTGATTTAAACCTAAGAATAATATTATTACATGAATTAATATCAACAATGGCATGACTTAACAAACTTAATAATACCTAAACTATGTCCAATAAGATGAAGCATAGCTCCATAAAAACTTATTTTTCCATTTGCAGGCTTTCTGTCATAGCTCACATTAAAATCCCACTCAAACTGTTCATTTATATGAACATCACCGCCTAAATCCATTCCTGGTTGAAATGCATGACCCAAAGCTTGATTGCTAAAAATGACAGGATCAATTTTTATGTGTTTTGGATGTTGAAATGAAATCACAATATCAGCAATTTCATCATTTGATTCTGTAAATTTCAATACTGTGTCTCGTTCCCAAACATTGAATGCTTCTCGAATGATTCGACGAATGTTGGCTCCTTCTTTAACAAACTTTTCATTGTTAATGAAATCGAACCTGTAAGATTGAAAAAAAAATTTTCAGTTAAAATTTGAGTATCAAATCAAAAAATTGGGATATTGCTTCAGATCAGAGTTGCGAAGCACGTCGCCTCTCTCAGGGACAGGTGACAGATCTGTCACAGATATTGTTTGTCAACATGTAAGTTGCAAGTGATTGCCTGTGACCGATCACAACTCTGTTCCAGATATTCACAATTTGAACAACTGCTTGGCTTTAAAAGTATTTTTAAAAACATATGGCTTTCAAAATAACTCAATTGTGCTCAAAACTTGCGAGCAATGTGAGGCTGGTAGCTTTACAAGCTGTTGCTACAAAACAGATTCAGTCCAGGCACATAAATAAATCAAAACTCGGGATTCCTTTAAATAATTATTAAGCACTGACCTGTATGTAAGGTTAGTAGTTTCCCACTTCGTTGACATGAATGCATATTGTTTGTTTTGCTTAGTATTAAGAACTTGATCAGGTACTCCACATCTTGGTGTCTGTATTAAGGCTGATGTTCGTTCATCATACTTTCCTGTTACTGGTATATTTCCATTTTTCTAGGATGAATTAAAAAATGGGTATGAGGAGGGGAGGGGGAGGGGGGGGGGGGGGCTCTTAATAAAATCCATAATTTACCAATGTCTTAAAAGAAAGTATCTGATCCCTTAAAATGACATGACAAATTGTTTGCTTATTTTTCTTTAAAAAAAGAATTAAACTGTGATTTTTAAAAATAAAGCAGTCAACATTCACACTGTACATTTTTTCGCATTTATAATTTAACCGGCAAAAACCGCAACTTATTTTTTTTTCTCGACCGATTATTAATTTTTTCCTTGATTTCACTTATTTCGTAATAAAGTTAACCAGCTGTTTTATTAGAAGTTAAAAAACATTTAATTTATTCATAAATATTATTATTATTCCTTGTGATCTATAATATGCGACAATTTAGAGAATTAAAATTATAATAATTTGTACATTTTATTCAAGAGAGCTGAAGTCATTCAAGAGGCATTAATAATTTTAAGAGAGAAATAAAAATGAATTTGAGAACAGGTGTTGGAAAGTCCCCTGGTGCATTCGATTTTTCTGACTCAAGCATTCACATTGTATGAACTGTTTTTCAAGAATTTGGATTTTTTTTCACTGGCTACGCGCCTATCCCTTCACTGCATCTGAATCTCACTTAAATCTTTGTTATGACTTGATTAAATAATGTGTTATTTTTCTTCTTGTTTTTTCAGAATCTTTCTCCATTGAATTTCATCATAATTACAAAAATATTCTTTTGTTGCAAGTTGAGAGGATTATACGACTCAAGTAGCTACTGGATTCTATAATTTTCAATTTAATTTTCATTTAAGCTCTAATAAAATTTAATGTTATCGACCTATCGATGCAAATTATCTGCTACTATTAATGATGCATGCAGTGGTGTCCAACCTTTTTTGTACCACGGCACAACTTAGTGGTAAGCTAAGACCGAAACCGCACACGGTATGCAATTCGTGGAAATTTCTAGAACACTTGTGTATCGCGGCACATGGGTTGGACATCACTGATGTAGTGCGTTGATCTCCAAAAATTACCAATGTCTTTAAGTTATGACATCAATTTAAGCACAATTTGTTTTATAACTTACTTGTAAATTTTTAAATGCTCTCTCAAGCCGCTTGTCTTCTTTAGCATCACCAATTTGATTTATGGTTATTTTATCATCTTCTGTTAAATATCCAAATTTTTGAAGATATTCAATGACTTCCTCACTATCACTGATTGGAAAACAATTATGTGTAATAACTAATGCTAAGTTAAAAGAAACCAGCAAAGCGAACTTAAGAAAATCCATTTTCTGTTTGATCTCTCGGACGTACAAAAAACAACTGAAACTCAAAACTGATCTACTAGATGCGAATGCTGAGAATGAAAAGTTCTCATGGTCTCTCTTATATAGAGATTAATGTTATAATTATAAATAACATGAGTAATAATTTGTTGATCTGAACATTTATTGTGTAATCAAGAATTCATATTAAATGTATTGAAGCATCATTTATTGCGTAGCTTGTGATCTTCCCGTTCCTCGTAGAGATATAAATTATAATGGGATTATATTCCGGACTCTTTTAGAGCAGTGGCTCTTAAACTATGCCAGAGAAACACTACCTTACAGTATAGCTTCAATAAAACTCATGATCTTATGCTGCATATAAATTTATTGTTTAATTTTTTAAAAAATCATCATCGTGATTAAGTTGAATTTACTTTCCCATTGCTTGAGCAGTAGATGGAGCTTGTGTAGGAGCCTGTGTAGATTTCCCTTTACCTTTATTGTCTTTCTTTCCATTCTTTTCATTTTTATTTCCCTTTCCCTTTTCTTGTTCTTTCTTGCTCTTCTTCTCAGCTCCCTTTCCTCCTTTTTTGCCTCCCTTTTCGTCACTATCTTCACCTTGTTCATCACTTCCTCCATGCTTGCCTTTCTTACCATGTTCACATGGACATTGTGTCATTTGAGCTGTTAAGTCTGTGCATGTGCTGTTTGTTGATAAAATTTTGGATGGACATGAAAGGTACAAATTTTTGAAGACACATTTCATGACCATGTCATTAAAGCAAGGTCCTTGATGTGTTTTGTTAGAGTCCTTTTCTTCGGATGACTTGTCAACTGTTTTATTGGCGTTCATCATTGCAGTAGCTGTGAATTTTTGAATATTGTCATGAGAAGCAAGAATCTAGGATATATCCTTACACTTACCATTAGCAATACAGACAGATGTAACATTTGGAACAATTTGAGTCCAATCAGCTGAAGTTCCTTTCAATAATGCAGCATTAAGTAAAGCTCTTGTGATATTTCCATCAGGTCCCAAAACATTTGCAGCCTTTAAGACACATGGCATGACGCAAGTGAACATTTGTTCCATTCCAGAATTTTTACCTCCTTTCTCGCCTTTACCTTGTTTTCCTGATGCTGGCGCCGAAGAATTAGCAGCTGGTAATTTAACATTGCATTGTGCGGCACATCCTGGAAAGTATTGCTTGAAACTTGGTATGCCTGTGCAGCAGTCTTCAGGCTTTACTGGCAATTTCTTCGAACAGATTGAATTTTTTGAGTTCTTTCCATCTTTTGGTTTTTTGCCCTTGTCAGCAACAGTAAGTGCTAAGATGCAAGTCAACACAATGAACAACTTCATTTATGGATTTTATTACTTCCTTTGTTTGGATGAAAGGAGCAGACAGCAGACTGATAATTTTCATGGAATCCCCATTCGAATTTATATGAAAAGATGTGATCAATCATTGGAACAGGAACACAAGATTTTGTGTCAATTTTTGGATATTTTTTGACATTCGTTTATCATTTGCAAATTTTGAGTTTTTGATGACTTTCTTTGAGGTCATGATCAATAGCCTACGTGCTAATATTTTTGATGCCTTTTTTTACAACAAAAGATTATAGGCATCAATAGATGGCGATACAGAAGATCAGAGAAGATCTACACAATTATTCATGTTTTAATATTTAGTGACATGAGCAGTTCCTGTTTTTAACATATTTTCCTATAGGAACAATGTTCACTTTAGCTGGTACAGGCTGGTACACTGAGATCTCGGCAATGAAATGACATAAAGACTTCGGGTTTTTTGCATTCATTAGCTGCCATGTTGGAAACAAACAGAATCTACTTTTTTTCTTTGAAAACTCCGTACCAAAATTTAATTAACAAACATCCAAGTTTGATATAACGATTTTAAACTTGAAACAGCCGTTATTCGTTTGTATCTGAAAAAACCGTTGTGCGAAAATGTCGGAAATCTTTGTTTTATGATTCGGAACTTAACTTGGGTATTACTGGATCTTTGAAGTTTGATCCCTATTATTATCAGAATCCTACTGGATCTTTATGGTTGGTGTTGGATATGACTTTTATGCTTCTAGCTTTTTGTTTGATATTCGATCAGATGGATCAGTACTCGAGCAAAGAGATCTTACACTAGAAATGCTGATATACTTGCACAAACACCTCACATTCTACAAACATAAACAGATTTTTAATAAACTTTATAGCTTTTTGGCAAATGACTGAAAATTAATATAAATCAAAGCTCAAAATATTTGATAGAAATTTAATTTATTTAAAATTCAAAAATATAGCATTTCAAATTTTAGCAAGTAGTAAGCCATAATAATGATTTCATAATATGCTGTAATTGAAGTTGTATCAAATTTACTTTCCGAAAGCTTGAGCTGTTGCTGGTTCTTCTGTGGTTTTTCCTTTTCCTTTACCTTTGCCATCTTTTTTGCTTTCTTGCTTCTTGTTCTTTTCATTTTTACCCCCGTTACTTCCTTCTTGCTCTTTCTGGCTCTTCTTTTCGCTTCCTTTAGCTTCCTTTTTACTTGATTTGCCACCTTTGTTTCCACTACTTTCACCTTTTTCGTCACTTCCATGTTCGCCATGTTTGCATGGACATTGAGCTATTTTTGCAGTTAAATCTGAACAGCTGCTGTTTGTGGAGATAATATTTGATGGACATGCAAGATACAAGTTCTTGAAGATACATTTCATTACTATTTTATTGAAACAGGTTCCATTACGTTCACTTTCTTCTTCAGATGACTTTTCTCTGTTTTGCTTTGATTTTGCCATTGCTGTAACTGTAAAAATAAGGAACTAAATACATACTTGAAGTCATCAAAGTCATTCCAAAATAACTACCATTATCGATGCAACTTGAAACTACATTTGGAACAATCTGAGCCCAATCTGGAGTGACTCCGTTCAACAATGCTGCATTTAATGCATCAGCTGAGACATTTCCGTCAACTCCCAAAACATTAGCAGCTTTCAAGACACATGGCATCATACACTTCATCTTATTATCTTTTCCATTCTTATTGCCTCTTCCTTGTTTACCTGATGCTGGTGCTGATTCATTGTCAGATGGTAAAGTGACATTACATTGAGCTGCACATCCAGGGAAATATTGTTTGAAGCTTGGCATGTTTGGGCAACAATCTTCTGGCTTAATTGACAATTTCTTTGAACAGATTGGATTCTTTTTGTCATCCTTAGGCTTCTTCTCTTTCTGAGCGACAGTAACTGCCAATACACATGCTAATAATATAAAGAGCTTCATATTCAATGTTTTCAGATTCTTTGCTGACTATTACTAATCTTTCCATGAAATTCCCATGTGAATTTATAATAAATTTTCTGTTATGGCGATGGAACTGCGACACATGTTTTCCTGTCTAGTTTTTAATATTTTGCTTTTTGTGTAATGAGTTTTTTACCGTAAATTTCGTGACTTTGGATGTGCTGAGGTTAAAATCAAAATAAGTACGTGCAGAGTTATCAAATAAGCATATGAAGCTTCTGAATCAGGGTTGAGATATAGGCACCTGTGCACTGGTGGGAACAATACAATTCATTGAAAATGGTCTTCAAATTCTAATAAAACCTTATAAATTATCGAGGAATTATACTCTACTATAGGTTCTCACCTGTGCACAGGTGCCTGTATTGCAACCCTGCTTCTGATTCATCATCATATTTTCAAATAAAAACAACTGAGTTCTAACATTTATAGCAACAAAAAAGAATATAACAAATATGGCACTATGAAATATTTAATGAGTTAAAGAGAATCGACAAAGCATTTACATTCATCCTAATTCCTTAATCATGCATCATGCGAACCCCTTTCTTGTTATTGTTTATAAATTATTATTTATTGTTAAACTGAAAAGAAAGAGGTAACACTTGAATACTATAGCAATAAGTATATATGCCTTATTTGGTATTATTGTTGAAAACTTAAGATGTGGCAACTATAAAGGACTCTTGAGCTACTTTACTAAATTGCTTTAATAATAAATAAAGAACTTTATTTATTCTTACAAAAATCTAATCATTAAGAACTAAAACTGCACAGAAATAATTAAAGAAAAAATATTTCAAATTCAGTTCCTTATCGACAGACTAAGAAATAGGTCTAAAATAAATTAGAATTTTTGAATTACAAAATAAAATGACTGAAGCACGAAACATTTTAAAGGAGATAAACATTCAAGGATATAAATGGAAATCGCTCAGCAAACTCTACAGCTTCAATCATATTTCTTTCCTTGCAACTTCTAATCAGGAAAATATTTCAATCTCAAAGACTAAAAAAACCAAGAAAATCCCGCCTCAAATCAAGATAAAGAGAAGACTTGCCGCAAATGAAAGAGAAAGACGAAGGATGCAGAACTTAAACGCAGCATTTAATAAATTAAGGAATCATCTTCCTACTCTTGAGAATAACAGACAGTTGTCAAAGTACGAAACACTTCAAATGGCACAGTCTTACATTATAGAGTTGAAGGCATTGCTGAATTAGACAAAAGAGCTGGATTCAATTTATTATATCATCAAAATACTTACTTCTACAGACACATCAAAATACAATATACAGACACAGTTCAAAAGTGTAGTGAATATAGTTTTAACAGTCGATGAAGTTTCAAATATTTGTGGTTGCAGAAGTATGAGGAGATAAAATTTTGTACAGGAATTAAATCGATGAATATTTCTAATGAAGCTGTCATTGAATAAATTGTTTATTGCAATGAAAATATTGATCTGGAATATTTAAAGTTGCTTGCTATTACGGACTTGACAATTATGTGCTTATAAAATTGATTGCTCATTTATATCCAGGATGTTGTGTAAACAAACATTTATGTAAATCATACATTCTAATATTGAAATTCATCAAAAAATCCCCGAACACATAAAATAAATAAAGTCACTACAAATGTCAAAGAACTTTGATTTTTCATCTTCTTGCTTTCTTTTTAAATCCATTTTGGAATGAAAGTAAAACTTTTTCAGTGTTTCAAAATTTAATTTTAAATTATAATCCGGAAAAAAAGACCTTGCAAGACTTAATAGCTCATAATTTAAGACAATTTTTCTGCTGTCTTTTGACGACAACAAAAAGAAAAGCAATTGAAAGAAATTTAAAGCAAAAATAATTTTTCTCACACACAAAACAGCTTTTGTGGCTTTATATACCATTCAAATGACTCGAATTCAACACTTGCTAATTACTTTCTGTGTCTCATATGAAAAATAACTTTCGCTGAGTAAAATCATGTCCACTGGCGCTGATTCATCGAATTTATTTTTCTCATCAAAGATTTTAAGGAATTTCAGCGCAAAAACTTGAATCATGAACATCATGTGCTGAACAACTCAATTTGCCGCACGAATGTCACCAAAAATTGTCAAATTTCAACAGATTTACTTTCTCTAAAATAAGACTCACTTCGTGCTTGGTCAATTCTCAATAATTACATCATCAACATCCAGCACACCACTGACCTAATTCTTACTTCTTCAAACTGCTGTTGTTGTGGACTATAAACATTTCATATTTCTTCTTTTACAAGTTCCAGTTCCGTTAAGAAATTTGCTCGAGTGTGACGACAATCATATGCAGAAGTAAGCATACAAGCAAGCAAGCAAGCAGCAACAGCACTGAAAATTAAGACTTGTTAACATACCCATTAATTTGCATTAAAGCATTTTTTTGAGTTCTGCCTTGCTTTCACTAAACTTACAAGAAATAATCAACAAATGTCACGCAAATTGTAAGAAGCTACTTCCAACTCAAGTTCAATGACCTTTTAGGTCAAAAATTCAACTATTTTTTTTTGGCAAATTTTACTTTCCATTATAAGTCATGGAATCAAAAATTGAAATGTCAATTGAAGCAATTTCCTGTCCAAGTTGATGACTCTCAATTAGCTCTTATTGACCCACATTTTGTCATCAATATTTTGCCAGCTGTTTGATGCCGTAAAAGAAACAAAAATATCCAAATAATGAGTCACAAAATCTCCACTCAATTGCTTCTTAAGATTCCTGTTTCCAACTTGTAGGCGTCAACGACAAAAAGTGAAAAACTTTCATTTTTAAATCTCGGCGTGTTTTATAAATTAATTGCAGTGCCATTTAGAATCACTTTCATTCCTCAAACTCAAAGCTTATCTCATGAGTCAAGAGCATGAAAGAAGCATTAATAGACAATAATAAATGATAAATAGTCAAATTAGACTTGAGAAAGAAGTCTGAGATCGGAAAGTGTGCTTGTTTACATAAAAAATTATGAAAAAAAAAAATTTCGCTCGATTTAAATTGAGTTCACACAACGCACAAAGAGATTCAAGAGCAAATCTTCTATTATTATTTTCATTTCTTTTTCGACTCAGACAATCGCTCGTGAAATTCACACTTACTTACTCTTGTTGTGTGTAAGTTGATCCATAAGATTCATTTAAATTGAATTTACTTCTTGCAAAATCGTGATAGAAATGAAATCGAAATTGGAAAAGAATTAAATTAGCTTTGGACTGCGATAAGATTTTGCTGCTCAATTTGACGATTCCTAAAAGTTGAAAAATTCATAAATTAATCTTTTAACATTTTTTTTTATTGATTTTTTCATTTTTTCTCGTTCGTTTTTATCTCATAAGTTATTCCTTCATCTTAAATCTACTAAATATTATTACATTATCAAATTCAGCTTATTTAAAGCCAGAAGGTAGATTAAATCAATTTTTATGTTTCAAAATTGTCTACAATTAATTAAAACATTTCTCAATTAATCAAATTAACTTCAGTTACATAAGATTTAAGTCTTAAAAGTGTTCAAATATTGAAATTATTTTCATCCAATTTCACAAACAAGAAATGTAAATGAAAGTGAAATGAGTAGAAAAAATAGCTGAAAATTCAGCACAAATGCAAATTAAATGAAAGTGAAGAAAATTCTCTTTCTCATCAATTATTCATTATTATTAATTTTAAATCAATTTAAGAATGCAAAATAAATTATTAATTTTAAAATTATGCGGAATCAATTTTTTTCTTCTTATTCTTATTATTTTATCAAGTATCTGATGAGAGTGTCTAATGCAAATATTGGAAATAAAGACAGTAGGAAAGGAAATTTTTCATACAATTTATAAAATATGCATGCACGCATATTTGATAAGAATTTTTTAAATTAAATTAGAATTTTGCATGCTGATTTATGCACTTTCATCAGATACTCAATTGTAGATAAAATTATTAGTTGTGAATCGCTTATTTGTTTTTTTTTTTCGCGTAAGTATAGGAGAGGTGTGTGCCTGAGTGTGAAGATTTTGATTGTGCTTTTTTCTTGGGATTTCTTCATTGTTTGTGAATTTTTATTGTCTAGCTTAAAGACACGTCAATGGCTTGTTAATAAATCATTAAACTTTTATGATGATGGTTTTTATATATGTTGATGACCTGGCGATAGAAGATCTACTGATCTTATATTTAACGCAATTGTGAATATGTTAATGCTAAACTTGCAAGAAATCAAACAAACTCTTGAGTAAGTTTAAAATTCTGCAAGATTGAAGATTCTTTTTTCTTCTTCTCTAAAGATAGTTGTCTAACATTTGCTATCAGTTAAAGAAGCTAGCTTCAAGCTCCTAGTTTTTATAGCTGCTAGCTTTTTAATACTAATAGTACCTACTCATAGCTACTAGTTTTTCAACACTATATAATAGGTAATAACTAGCTCAAGGGATTTGAATGCACCGCTGTCGACCGAGTCCTGTGCCAGAATAAGTACTTTAAAGAATAGATTAAAAGTTTTTCACAACCTCGCTTGTGAGGTGGCAGCCCCACATTCAGGCTAGGGATGGTGAGGTTTACAACCAACCATTCCCGAAATCAACATGTACAAATAAAGGAACATAAGGTAAACATGAGTGGAACTAGTTTTAAAAACTAAAAAATCATTGAAATTTATTACTAAGCAAGCTTGAAGCTAGTTCATATGAATACAGCCTAGCTATAAGCTTGCTTAAAACTATGTTTTTAATTTTCTGGCTACTAGAAAAGAACTAGGCTCCATTAATGACATTTTTTCTAGGACGTCCTTTAAAACTTGTGATTAGTTGACACTACGTCTGTAAATATACTAATTCATCATGTCTAATGTTCTCTTAATGTTTGTTTAGATCCGCTAATTCAAGACTAAGCCATTTTGTATAAAAAGACACCTTAAACTTATGTATAAAGTCACAACATTGCATGACACAATTCAATTAAAGAATCTCCAAGAACAAATCACATCCAAAGTCTCAACACAAAAGCAAGCACATTAAACAATGAATAAATTAGGAATAAATAAATAAATAATTTTTTTCCCTTCTCGTTCGTTTCGAGCTTAGAAAAAAAGTTCTTCGATAACAATAAAAACATGTTTATGTCTACAAAAAAATAAATAAAGAGTAGTAAAGAAGTAAAATGAAAATGATGTGAATAAATTGAGAGAAAAATAAAAACTTTTTCTTTCTTTATCATCATGATCATGATGCTCATCATAAAGCATTCAATTATATATTCACAGACTTCTGCTCTCGTTCTCACTTTTGTTTGACTCGTCATCATCATAATCGCGTGTTAATGAATCAAATAATGCTTCCAAACTGTCAATTGCCATTGATTGTGGAGCTTTGTTAATTTCAATTGGTTTCGCAGTCGTTGACGTCGTTGTAACTGCCACTTTTGGGGCACTTGTGCTGACACTTTCAAATCTCTTCTTATTTTCATTAGATGATGATGATATCAATAACGTTGACTGTGTCGTTGATTGAGGTTTAATTGATGTTGTTGGCTGTGATAATGCTAATGATGATGAAAGTTCGTGTGACTCGCCACGAACAAGTTCGGGTGCTGTGCTGACACGATTTGATGAGTAAATTGGCTGAAATCCGCTTTCGAGAACTGGATGGAATTCATTTGGATCGAATTTTTTTGTTGATACTTCCTCATTTGAGTCGACAAGATTGTGATCTGATCGATCGATTTTGTTCGGTGATTCTGTTGGTTTTGTCACAATTGACCATCCTTGATATGGATTTGTTACTTCTGGTGTAAGACTCACACTTGCATGGAATGGTGCTTCAAAATCATAATGTGGTCTATGATAATCGTTAAGCTCTTCACCGCCATTGAGATGTGCTGGATTTTTATGATAATAATCATAATCATCAATTATTTCACTAATGACTGGACCTGCGTAATTTGGAAGTGAAAACTTATTCGAGTTGTAGAGATTTTGTGGTTGAATATGCTGATAATAACTCATTGGTGGTGAAACTCTATTTGGTTCTGTTGGCGTGTATGCGATTGCTATCGGCTTCTCAGTTACTCTCGTTAATTTACTTGAAATTGGATTGTGTGGTTCTTCACCGATGTTATACACTGGATGAACATGTTGTACATTAAATTTAACTGGAATTTGTGGTTCAGTTACGTGTGGTGGATTTGGTTTCTCAATTTGATATGGGAATGCAGGTCTCTTTCTATCCTTTTTCATAAGTAATGGCTCCTGTTCGAAATGTGACACGACAGCAAATGGTGTATTTTGATATTCATGCTTGATTGGATATTCATCTGATTTTTCTTCATGATGTTCTTCATTTGGAAGGTCAACATGTTGCTGTGTTTGTGCTGATGGTGAATTATTGGATGTGACTGGATACACAACATAAACGGATGGATCATTTTTGTATGGAATTGGTTCTCCTTTGTGATTCTTAGGGATTGTTTGGAGAGTCTGTGCTTGAGGCATTATTGCTTGTGGTTGCTGTTGATATGATTGCTGATATGAAGGCTGGTATGACAAATCTTGTGAGATTTCATTTGGAACTGATGGGATGTTTAATTTAGCAGATCCAGGTTTCTTTTGCTGTAACATTTGTAAAGTTATGACAGGTTCAAGTATGCCACTTCCATCTTCAGTATTGACATTAACTGATGAATTTATAGTCTGAATAGCTGGAGTTGGTGGCAATGACTTATGTAGCTCAACATCTTGGTACGGTATAATTGATGGTCTTTGTTGCATTTGCATAGTTTCTGGTGGATTTGCTGAGATTGGTCTATTGAGGTAGTAAGTTGGTGGCTGTTGCATCGGTGGGGGTTTCATGTAACGATCAGCATATGGAAATTGTTGAGGAGGTGGAACATTAAAGACGCGACGATTTGCTTCCATATTTTGAGGAATATTTTGTGGGACATTTTGAGGACGTGGACGGTTAAAGTATTGAGGGGGTCCTTGTTGATTTTGAGGATTTCTTCTCATATTTGGATTCATTGGTGGAAGTCCAACTTTTGGAATTGCTTGTTGTGGTGGAAATGGTCTGAATTGAGGATGTTGAACACGAACAGATCCAATTTCAGGTCTGTAATGTGGATGTCCTTGTGAAACTCTCGAATTTGGTCTGAATTGTGGAAGAATATTTGGTTTTTGAATACGTTTTTGTGGTCCATATTGAGGCTGACGATTGAATTGATTATATTGATGTTGATTAGGTGGAACTAAACTCATTGGAGGGGGTAATTCATTCGATTTGATTTCTTTTGGTGGAGCCTTCTTCTTCTCATTAACTTTCTCATAAATGTCATTAACATTTTCGAAAATAATTTGTGACGGATTTGATGGCTGTTGTGCTGGTGCTGGAATTCCAACACTCAATTCAGCTTGCATGACATTCTGTTCACTTGATGGGAAGATTAGTGGCTTCTGATTGTTGTGAGCATGTGAATTAAATTGCATTGGTTGATTTTGAGATAAAGCTTGTGGTGGCTGAACAGCTTCTGTACTTCCTTCATACTTGAATGTTCCCTTAATAATTGGTGCATTGTCAAAGTTACTATCAATGTCACTTGGGAAACGAATACTTGCTTGAATTGGATTGACTCCAGCACGAACTGGTGGCTCGTCATTAATGACTTGTCCCATCTTAACTGGTCCTTTGTTTTCTGGGAAGGTTGGAGTTCCAACACCCAAACTTGAACCAATACCGATACTTCCAACATTCTGCTGACTTCCAAGCACAAATGATGCTGAATTTTGACCAGGAGAAATGACAACATTATTCATATTTGGAATTGGCATTTGATTGTATTTATCAACATTTAAATTAGGTTTCTGAACTTCATATCGTACATACTGATCACCTGGATTCTCAAATTCGACATAATCATCGAATGTATCGTCTGGGAATCCAATATGTGAGCTACCAAATTGTGGTGTATGTTGTGGAGCATAAGAAGATTGTGGTGGACTTCCAGCATATTTATTATTTGAAAAATCTACAAATTGATTTGGTTTACCATTTTGTGGTTCCTTCATTTGTTGCTGTAATGTCTTATGTTGTTGCTGATTTATTGATGGAGTTGGTGTCGTTTGAAGTGTAGAAATCGGAGATAATGGCAATGGCTTCTTGACTTCAATATTTATTGAATCTGCTGGCTCATAAATGATTTCATTTTTCTCTTCTGACAAATTGTCATTTCCAGCTATGGAATTGAAAATTTCCGAAAGTGTCATGGCAGCAGGATCTACGCCTTTTTCAAATACCACTTTCTGTGAATGATCTTTTTGTGATGAGTCCGTGGGCATTGGCTTAAAAGCACTTGGCCTTAATGGCATTGATGTTGCAAATGACAAGCGATCAATTTGAGGTCGATAGGTTGTTGCCGTTGTTTGTTCTTTGCGCTCAATTGTTTGTAATAAATCATCCAAAAATTTCACTGGATTAGCTGGCATTGTTGGTGACGGTTCTGGTGCTCTTGTTGTGAATTTCTTTCGAGTTTCTGACGAGTCGACATACTTTTTGAATGTAGATGGAAATTGATTTGATTGAATGATTGTTGAACTATATTTTACAGTTGATGGCGCTTCCGAACTTTCTGTTGTGTAGATTGTTGTCGGTGATGTCTTTTGTATTGTTGTGCTGGTTGTCGTTTCTGGTGCTTTTGTGGATGTGGATGTTGTTTCTGGTGCTTTTGTTGTTGTCGTTGTTGTGGTTGTTTCTGGTTTTTTAGTTGTTGTACTAGTTTGTCTAGTTGTTGATGTTGTAGGTTTTGGTTTTTCAGTTGTTGAAATTGTATAAATTCTTCTAGTCGGTGCTGGTGCTTTGGTTGTGGATTCTGTATATGATTTTGAGGTTATAATGTGTGTAAAGTATTTTGGTGACATTGTTGTTGTTCCTAAGGTCGATGTGTAGTTTTTGTGATTTGATTGATGATTTTTGTTACTTCCTTGATACTTGAAATTAGCATAGGAGCTTGAAATTAACGGATATACAAATTTCGATGATGAATATTTAACAGGTATGTTTAAATAGTCATGAAATGTGTGTCCAATACTGTTGATGTCATGACCTTTCATTGATCCACCAACAATTTCATCTTTTCGGCTGATTGGAATGTCATTTGACAAACCAACAGTTTTCTTTGAATTAAAATCAAAAGTTCCTGTCGTTGGATCTCGCTGAACATAAAATGGTTTTCCATCATTAAAAATTGGCTTTGATCCAAGAACGTCTTTAAATACTCGCTCATTACTTTGCGACTCCTCGGCAATATTATCTTCATATTCCATTTTCTTGTCACTAGTCATGTCAAGTTGCGCGTGGGCGATCGCAAGCAGTACATTAAACACTATAATTGACTTCATTTTGCCTTAAATGTAATGATTGTTTGATGAGTTAGCTGAAAATTGAGAGAAAATATTCAGTTTATTATAAACTTAATTAAAATTTTTAAATTAATCTACAAAAAATATAGCTAGTGCCGTTATCTCGATACTTCATAAAATGCACGTATTATAATTTTGGAAATCTTTCCGCTTCTTAAATTTTCTCGCATTTTTTTGTGATTGAAATTTGTAGCAATGACAAACGTTTATTTTCGTTTTTACTTTTTTCTCGTTATGAAGATAATAGTTGTGGATCATTTTCATTTGAGGCTCTATACTGGCAATTAAATGCTCGTATTTCTGTTTTAATTATCATAGAAAATAAATTGTATTTTTAATTTAAATAAGAGTGAAATTATATGCTTTTGAAAATTCAATTCATGATTGACATTAGATGAAATTTTGTTTTTTCGTGGATTTCTCACCTCGAGTTTTTAGGTGCTTATAACTTAATGGTTGATCATTGAATTCCAGAAATTCTTTTGAAAACTGATAATAAACTTCGGAGCAAGCAAGAATAAACAACTTTAATATATATAAAAGCATTAATAGATTGAGAAAAATTAAAAGAAATGAAAATTTTACCTCAAAAGTTCTCCGAATCAAAACATTCGAGTCAAAAATAGTAAAAATAGAAATAGAAAACATAAAATTAATCTAATTACAGTCACGATAACAATAGCCATAATTTAAAGCAGTATCAACGTATCAAGTATTAAAATGTACAAACAATTGTGCGATATTGGCTAGCACAGCATTTAAAAGAAGCAATAAAAAGAGTAGAAAGTAACCTTGACCCTTTTCATTCATTATGAGCATTGTGAAAAATATTCAACATCGATACTGCCTCATACGTAGGATGGATAAAATAAGCAAAGCAAAAAAATACTTTTACTGTATTCATAACGGATTTCTTCTCTCTTTCTTCGTCTTTTTTATTTCATTTCATTTCTGTTGTTTTAGTGCTTTAAATTTCATTTTTCTTATAATTATATTAGATTGCATAAAAAATTGAACTGAAACTTTAATTTGAGATTGATGAGAAAGCCCTTCACTTAACTCGCACGTTCAATCAATTTATGGATATTAAATTACATTGTAAAGAAGTCAGATCATGCTGCGTATCAATAATGCTAGCCAATTATTTAATTCATCATGCCTATCTCGTTTCAAATTAAACAAATGGCTTTGATGCTATTTAGAGAAAATTGGTAGGCATCTGCATGATATTGTACGACTACCTTGTATCAATTTATTTCAATTTCACTAAAATTGAAGTCATTTGTTTAATGTAAAACAGATTAAAGTGTAATTGAATTGATTTTTAAAGTGGAAGTGCCCAAATATGATATTTTGATATGAAAAATCCGTTACAATAAATTCATAAATGTAAAGTTATTTCCTGAATTTCTTAAGCTTTAAATTGGTAGATTTAATGCTTTTTAATCCACAAAATTGGAGGCATTTGAACTTTCAAAATTGTTGAGTAACATTTGTTAATAATAAATTGCTGTGAAATTTAATGAGTTTAAGATGAGGAAGAAGAATTGCGTGAAGTAATGGCTTTGTTGTTTGTTTTGTGGTTTTGAGGTTGTGTTGGGATCACATAAGAGTTGTGGGAGCTTCTAGGAATTTTGAATAGTTTCTGGACAGCTGTTCTATTTATCGGAATGTTTAGCAATAGAACACAGTAAGAGAATAGCATTAGCAATCATCCGATCGATAGTAATTCTTTCATAAGTCTAATTTGGTATTAACCATCTGGAGATATACTCAAAAAATCTGATTTGCATGTTCTAAAGCTGACTACATTAATTATTTAATGAAAATAAGCAGATTACTATAGAATTTGCTATAAGAACTTGCAAAATCATCATTCAAATTGGGATATTCTGATTTTCAATACTTCGAATGACTTTTCAGAAGTTTACAAAAAGCTATTCAATCAAAATCACATACTAAGCTATGATGAAGCAAATTAACAAGATAAAGACTTCATTAGAAAGTAATCTGTGAATAAATTCTCTCCTCTTTTCCAGTTCAGAGCTCGTTAACGTGCTCATTAGTTAACATAATATTCAGTAGCTTTAAATAATCACTCATTTTCCACATATGAGACAAAATTGCTAAATTCATATCGCAAATTAGGACAGAAAATAGATTTCCGACCAAAAAAACTGAAAGAAATCAATTTTGTCTGTCAAATAAGCAGATACTAAGATAAAATCCCGTTTCAATTTTTTTCCAAGTCGGCAGCTAACAAGTGTATATTTTGTCATCGAAATGAAAAGAGTAAACAGTCTCACACCGGTCAGATTATATTTATGCAAATATTCATCGATCTTTTTTTGGGTCTCGAGAGAAAATAAAAAGAATCTAAAAGTAAGAAGAAGAAAATATTTTTTTTGTGCTGTACGTGTGACAAAAAGAGGAAATTTTAACGGTTGCATGTCTGTTATTGGATATATTGTATGTCACCAATAAAGAATAAACAATAATGTAACATTTTTTTGAAAAACAATAATTCATGTGTGGTCGGAAAAGAGGGGAAGTAGCTAATCTTATAGAGATTTTAGAGTGATATTTTGAAAGTTATTACGGTTCGTGGACTTCGAGGTACATCCAGCATTTTATGTACAACTGTATAGATACTCTTGGTAAAATCTCGTCAAACCTTAAACAATTTTCTCACAGAATCTTTTTGCCAATCCTTTTAAATCTCTCAGTTTGCACTTCAAGATCCTCTATCACAGTTTTCCATTCTCCCAATGCCTAAGCTGCACAAAACCTAACAAAATCCAACATCTGTTACACTTTCAAGTTCACGACAATGGCATTAGAAACAGAAATTGTCATGACAACGACACGAATTCTTCACGGTTTTCAATTGTTTTCATGCATTTAAATCTTTTGTATTACATTTCGATTTTTTTTATGTCTCATGCATTACATATGAGAATAACTCCCAGCTAAAGTCAAGTTGGTGTCTTCGAAGACTTAAATTTCAATAGAAATGAGAAGAATTAAAAATATTACAAAGATTAAGGGCAGTAAGTGACATTTCCATACAGTTGTAGACAAAACATGAAATAGAATTAAGGCCATTTTAACTTCCATTCAGGTGCTAAGTTCCGTTTGAAAATTATTTGAGTTTGTGTGACTTATATGCAGGAAATTTTAATTTGTTTGTGTCATTTTGAAACAGCTAGTTATGACTTTGATGGAAATTTCTTTTGGGAACTAATTTCGTGTTTATGAAAAGCACGGAAGTGAATTTTTGAGGAGGAAATTGTGATTTTATTTTTGTTTTTTCTAATTGTATTAGATATGGGAAAAAAAAAATGGAACTAGCTGTAAATATTGATATAAAGTCATAATTCAATATAGACTGCATGTCTTGACAAGCTGAAAAGCATTAATATCCTTAATTCTAACTTATTTTGAATTAATTAATATTTAAAACCTTTTTATTAAGTTAAGTCATTAATGGTATTGAATTTGGATTAGATTATGTACCAGGACATAGTGAGGACATAAGTTCAAGTCCAACTCAAGATCCGACACTCCGATTGTAGCTTTTGCTTGTAAAATAACAGCAATTCAACATTAAAAAATCAAACATCAAATCAGACCCAATTTATAATCTTTCAGATCAGCAACACAATGAATTGTTAATCCACAGACTAATTCTGCCCCTCCTTGAAATTAGATTTCACACAAACATATTAGAAAGTACATCCTACGTGCTCTTGATGAATGATTCTCTTAAAATTTAACAAAATTATTAACACTTAAATTCCAAAAATCATTCTTTGAATAAAAACGTACGTGAAAGAGAAACAGGTTTAAGAATGTGTTTAAGGAACAAGAAATTTTATTATGCGGCCATTAACCGCTCAACGGCCATGACCTACATTTTTTCTTCTCTTTCTTTCATTTATTTTCAAGACAAGAATTTCTTTCGATTTTGCTTTTTGCAGCTAAATGGGGACTTGTGAAATATTTTTATGAGGATATCACATGGAGATAACAAAAGTCGTAAAATGTAAATATTTAATATGAAATTTGTGAAAATCATTTAGAATGAGATTTATGGGATATGATGAAAAATATTCGAGACAACATTTAGATTGAAATCTTTCAATTTTTATGGACTCAAAATGTTTACTTTTTAAAAACTGTTGCAAAAAATGCAAATTATAGACTTTCAAAAGCTTTTAAGAAAGTCTAAATAGGATCTTAAAAATAAACCACTCAATTTCGAAACTCCATAAGCAAAACAAAAAGCAAGTTCAGAGAAAGAAGGTGGAGGAGATCGACGATCAAAGCTAATTTAATTCTTTTCCAATTTCGATTTCATTTCTATCACGATTTTGCAAGAAGTTAATTCAATTCAAATGAATCTTATGGATCAACTTACACACAACAAGAGTAAGTAAGTGTGAATTTCATGAGCGATTGTCTGAGTCGAAAAAGAAATGAAAATAATAATAGAAGATTTGCTCTTGAATCTCTTTGTGCGTTGTGTGAACTCAATTTAAATCGAGCGAAATTTTTTTTTCATAATTTTTTATGTAAACAAGCACACTTTCCGATCTCAGACTTCTTTCTCAAGTCTAATTTGACTATTTATCATTTATTATTGTCTATTAATGCTTCTTTCATGCTCTTGACTCATGAGATAAGCTTTAAGTTTGAGGAATGAAAGTGATTCTAAATGGAACTGCAATTAATTTATAAAACACGCCGAGATTTAAAAATGAAAGTTTTTCACTTTTTTGTCATTGACGCCTACAAGTCGGAAACAGGAATCTTAAGAAGCAATTCAGTGGAGATTTTGTGACTCATTACTTGGATATTTTTGTTTCTTTTACGGCATTAAACAGCTGGCAAAATATTGATGACAATATGTGGGTCAGTAAGAGCTAATTGAGAGTCATCAACTTGGACAGGAAATTGCTTCAATTGACATTTCAATTTTTGATTCCATCACTTATAATGGAAAGTAAAATTTGCCAAAAAAAATAGTTGAATTTTTGACCTAAAAGGTCATTGAACTTGAGTTGGAAGTAGCTTCTTACAATTTGCGTGACATTTGTTGATTATTTCTTGTAAGTTTAGTGAAAGCAAGGCAGAACTCAAAAAAATGCTTTAATGCAAATTAATGGGTATGTTAACAAGTCTTAATTTTCAGTGCTGTTGCTGCTTGCTTGCTTGCTTGTATGCTTACTTCTGCATATGATTGTCGTCACACTCGAGCAAATTTCTTAACGGAACTGGAACTTGTAAAAGAAGAAATATGAAATGTTTATAGTCCACAACAACAGCAGTTTGAAGAAGTAAGAATTGGGTCAGTGGTGTGCTGGATGTTGATGATGTAATTATTGCGAATTGAGCAAGCACGAAGTGAGTTTTATTTTAGAGAAAGTAAATCTGTTGAAATTTGACAATTTTTGATGATATTCGTGCGGCAAATTGAGTTGTTCAGCACATGATGTTCATGATTCAAGTTTTTGCGCTGAAATTCCTTAAAATCTTTGATGAGAAAAATAAATTCGATGAATCAGCGCCAGTGGACATGATTTTACTCAGCGAAAGTTATTTTTCATATGAGACACAGAAAGTAATTAGCAAGTGTTGAATTCGAGTCATTTGAATGGTATATAAAGCCACAAAAGCTGTTTTGTGTGTGAGAAAAATTATTTTTGCTTTAAATTTCTTTCAATTGCTTTTCTTTTTGTTGTCGTCAAAAGACAGCAGAAAAATTGTCTTAAATTATGAGCCATTAAGTCTTGCAAGGTCTTTTTTCCGGATTATAATTTAAAATTAAATTTTGAAACACTCAAAAAGTTTTACTTTCATTCCAAAATGGATTTAAAAAGAAAGCAAGAAGATGAAAAATCAAAGTTCTTTGACATTTGCAGTGACTTTATTTATTTTATGTGTTCGGGAATTTTAGATATCCCGCAAGCATCCACAAAGTAATCACAATAAATGCGGATTATGTTGCGTAATTATCTTGCTTTATGCTTTGGCGTGGATATAAAAATTTCCGTTTATCAATTGACTGTGTTGATGCAATATTTTTTCGTATTATTGCGTGAAAGTTTTGCAATAGATAAGAGATGAATAACTGCACGTTTTGTGGGAAATATCAATGCGTCATTGAGGGATTGGTGATTTACGTTAATGTCTGTTAAATCCTGAATGTTATTGAATTGAGGTTAGGCAAATTTTTGAGTGGTTGACAAAATTATGGTGATTGACGTTATTGCAGTTATTCTTTTAAATATGGTGATTCAGTTATTTAGGCCAATGTGACATTCAATTTAAATTAATTTTATAATTAAGTGACTTTTTAAATTACTGGAATTTATTGAAATTATCATCAATTTCACTTTCTTCGGGAAGTTTGTTCAAATTTTACTCATAATGAAAAGTTAAGTTAAAATTTCGAAATTTTAACCAAAATGAAGTTCAAAACATTTCCATCATCTCGTTCCACAACTCATTATTACCTAGCATGTAAAACTTCTTTACATTTCCAGATGCTCATTACAAACTTCATATTTTTCTGGTAAATTGCAAAAGAAATTAGTCGACTTCCATGTGCAAAATGTTGAGTTCCCATCAACAAATTCACACACAGAATTTTCTAAACCATCAGACCATGAAAAGCACTAAATGAAAGATGATTAGAATCTTGCGAGATTTAATGTTGGGATAATGTTTAGTTATGATGAATAAGAACATGACGAGAAACACCTGTGGATTAATATTAGAATCAACAAATGAGTCTTAAAATCGATATACTGAGCTACCATTCAATAATAATAAGTGAATAGACACGTAATAAGACGAGATAAATATATCGAACATAAGAAAGCATTTGAGGTAACCGTTAGAATTTCATTTTGAATTAAAAAGAAGAGGAAAGAGAATGAAATAAGCGCAGCACATGTATAGCCGTGAAAGAGGTATGAAAGAGAAGAGGAAATATCGCCCAATTGAAAATGGTAAAGTGCTTTCTTCTATTTTCGTTTTATAGGCCAAACATATCAGCTGAAATACTAAATTTATTTCATTTACTTGAACCATAATATAATGTCTCTATTTGTTGTGAATTCGATACGATTCTTTTGGTTTTAATGAATATCGAGGTATAGGAATATTTGAAAATGACGTCCGTTAGGTTAGAACTACACCAACTATCAAGGATCTACTATACAACTTCAGGTAAAATTATTGATCGACAGCAGGTTTCATCATTTCATGCAAAATTGAAATCTCAAGCTAGCTTAATGATTTTCCAAAAATTTAATGTTCCTCTTTTCTTCAAAAGCACAACTTAATGCCATTTTACATTCAAAAGATTAAAAATCTATCTTTCCACAATCAAAATTGATATTTTGAGCGTGAAAATAATTTCAATCGAATAAAAGCTAAAACAGCAATTACAATTTTGTTTGTGCCTTAATCTGTAGCAAGATCGTTATTAGATGAGCTAATGATTGAAGATTAATTAAGTTCTTTTTCTTTCTCAAGTAATATCTTCATTAAAACTCTTTTAAGTGAGAAAAGTAATTGCTTTTTGAATTGAACTGGCATTGTTGTTTGGAATGTCTAAAGTCAAAATTTTAATCGCTTAATTCACAATGGGAAAAAAATCTATAAATGAAACTTTCTGTGATCAATTGAACTTTCATAGAGATTTCAAATACTAGAGAGGTTTTTGAAGGAGCTAGAAGGATTTGTAGGTTATGTGTAAATTTGAGCCAAGTTAAGGTGTGATTTTAAGAACTAAATGGAGTTAGGAAAGTTGTACTGACTCAATCTCATCTGTAGAATAACAAAACCATAAACTAGCAAGGAATTAAAAGCCACATATGCAGTACAGAACAATGACTCGATGTTTATCTTCAATATTCTCTGAATAATGATCAGAACTCGAGAAAATTCAATTAATCAAGCAAAATTGAAAGCATAATCAGTACATAAATACTGCAATAAGAAAAATTGACTTCATAAACCTGTTAAATCTACAAGATCCAGCCATTAACTATAGATTCTCATTAACTTATGAACTTTGAGTCATGAATTATCTTCAAATCAATTCCAATTCATTCAAGAAAACTTAATTTTATTCAATAGAGATATTCCAGCAAAAGCACTTGATTGATTAGTGGAACGAGTAATATTTCTAGTGACATAACAGGAATGTAGCATAATTTTGTTCGTATCGTTCGATTAATGTATTTAAATAGATACATTTCTAATGAGTTTAGGTTTTATTCAAATGAGAAGAATTTAGGTCATGATATTTTTTTACGAGGAATTCGAAACAGCTTCACACGTATTTTTCAGGTAGTTCTTAAACATATATTTTTTTGTGTTTGCTATTTCACAGCAGATTATTTCCTCTGGCACACAGATAATTAACGAAAAGTAGTCAAATGGACGAAGAAGCATGTATAGTCAAGTCAAAAAAAAAGCACCGCTGTATGACATACACCGCTATAGTCCCACAAATCATTATGCATTCTTGCACACACATATTTATGGATTTGTTACATTAATAAGCACGTTTGGCGATGCCACCAAAGTGGACAATTTGTTATGACTAATTACTAATTATTTTTACTTCATAACAGTTACTTAAAGCACATCAAATCAGACACAGAGCCGTGAGAGATGATCAAAATTATTTCCATGAAAAAAAATTCCTGTTGTATCTGCATGTATATCTTCAATTTAATCCACATAAAAATGTAATTTATTCCAACAGAACTGTTTCACATGTATGCCTTTAAAATGGAACAGCCATTCGACCAACTGACCGAAAAATTTTACTCACTTGAAAAATAAGCACTATTTTGAGCTTGTATGTCTGCCTTTATTTAATATTCTTCAAAAGAAAGTTTTTTTTTGTTGCTGTTCATTACAATCGCAATTTTACACATTTTTATCATATTTTATTATTTATACGGAATGAATTTTTAAAAGAGTGGAAGAAGTTTGGCGATTAAATAATTTATTTATAAAGAAAACTGCCATAAAAGCGTCTAACTGATTATCTTTGCTTTTCTTTTCTTGTTAATTAATCAGCGCGCTTTTTGAAGTACCTTAAATTATTTTTTTTATTGCTAGTTCAATTTTTGGATTGAGGTGTTAAATGTGGAGCTATTAGGCTTTGGTTTTAAAGGAATGATAATTGAAGCTTTTTTACTGATTTTATAAAGTTTTGAGTTTCAATAAGGATTTGTCTTAGGAAGTTTGATAATTTTTTTAAAGAAGTTGCCAAAATATTTCTGTCTGAAAATTTAAGCCGAAGAAATCACAGATCATCAAATGTAACAAAAAGCTAGTTAAGTGACTTAAAATTGAACTCGTAGCGAGAGTAAAGTCTCCAAATATGACTTCAACTTATTTTAAGAATGGTGATTTAAAACTATCTATAGTAAATTGATCTATGTGTCAAGTAACGAAGTTTACTCAAAATGGTTTTAATATATTTAAGTATATCCAAAGGAGCCTCAAAGCATGTCAGTATACCAAGATGCCAGATTTACTCTAAATCAACCAGAACGTTAGAAAATTAGATTTTAGAACTAGGTTTATATGAACTTAGCCTTCCATAGAACTTATTTCTTTACTTTCTGGTTTCAATGAAACTTAATATTCTTGAAACTTTTAATCTACAAAGAACAGTTCACAATCACAAAAATTTACAATAGTTCTTCATCTTTTCATTCAATTCTATTATTCACATTTGTGGATATTTAAGAAATAAACAGTTGCGGCACTACACTATAAATGTTTTACATCAATAATAAAAAAACGAACTGAAGCACTTAAAAAATCTTCTTACCTTTCTTTCCAACAAACAATTGTGTAAATTTATTGTACAAAATTAATCCAATTTGTGGTTTTTTTTATTCACTTCAGCAAAACCGATAATTTGCGAAACTTATTTTGCAAGAATTCTATTAAAAGAATGAAGATTGGTGTGGTTGAATTTTCTCTTTTGTTCTTTCAATTAAAAAAAAATCCGTTCACAATTTTTGTGGCTTCTTTATGATTTTATCAATTTTATCATTTTTTTTCTTGAGACTATTTTTTTTTCACATCCTTTTATAAAAATAATTTTCAACAATATTCATTCAATTTGTATTCATAATTTTCTTCTCTTCTTTCCTCATTCACATTTAACCACATTTAATGGAATTTGACACAGAAATTTTTTTTATTTAATATAAAAACAATTACACCTCGATTAATAATTCTCTTCCTCTGCAAGCTCTTTTAATCAATGAAATGAGTGTGTATGTATCGTCAAGTGCCATACACATATGGCTAGTAATAAAACACGTTTTTCTTCTTCATTTACTTCTTGATGAAAACTTATATATTTTTTTTGCAATTTTAATGCAATCTAAAGAACGGAACTATACTGGGGAAGAAGTATGTAATGACTCAAATACACGCGACACGCACGATGTCTATGTATGAAGCTTAAAATTTCTTCTCAACTGTTCACCTCGACGGTTACGAACGGAATGAAGCTGATGGAATTGAAATTACAATACTTTATGAGATGCCACAGATAGTGAAAGAAAAGAAATGATGTTATGTGGTGTGACCGTGAATGTGTGGATGAAAGAAATTGAGAGAAGAGTCGAGAGAAATGGAAAATGAAACGAAAATCGCTGCAGAAGTTGAGAGAAATTTTGCTGTTACGTTTTGGACGATGCAACATAAGAAAATGAAATGATTCAATACGGAAATATTTTGATATAATCGATAATTAGTAATAATGAATCATATTTAAATTTCTTCGCAAACTTATAATTTTAAAATATTTTTTATTGGAGTGATGAATTTTGAGCAAATACCGCAAATACTCAGTTATTTAATTTTTGTGTAGTGCAAAATTATATAAATCTTACTTGACACTCAATTTTTAATAAATCAATTTAAAGGATTTTGTTGAGAATATATTAATGGTCATTTCATATTCAAATTATTTATGCAACTATAATTAGTTTATTTCCCCTTGTATAGTTGTTAACCCCTTTCACACAAATATTTTGTATGTTTCTAATTATCGAACGATAAACATCTTGTTATTAATTACAAATCCGTAAGGAGCCTTTAATTAACTTTATTAATAAAAGAACATTCTGATTATCAAACCAACAGATTACTTAATGACTTTTGTAAGTTTTCAATTGGGATTTTACAAGTTTTCATAAACTTGTTGGAAAGTAAATTTGACTAGCAACTTGTATGTTTTTTGGCTCTCGTTGACAATAGCATCTTTGGAACCCCTTTGAAAATAAAGCATAATGTTTTTATTATCGATTTAAGTTCGATTAACAACAAAAATTTAAGTTGTGTTCCTTTCAAAAAGTTTTTGTTTTGTTTACCGACGCATTAAGCAAATGAGGTGCATTAAGTCATTTAAATAAATCACTATAAAATGGATCAAGTGTCAAAATCATTCGTCATATCAAACTAGTCATAGCTCAGATCAAGATATTAACAATTAAAGAAAGCCAAATTTCTAAGAAGCTTAATCACTTTTCAAAGAAATGGGAAAGATTACAATTTTATTCATCATCGTCTCATCATATCTTTTCATCGCAAATTCAGCAACATTTAACGGATATTGCGAACCAATTGTGAACGAAAAAGTTTGCATTGACAAAACATTTTTTGAGAATCTAACATCACCAAAATCATTTCAAGTAATTGCACATTTGAAGTTTAGTAATGTTCAAGGAGCTACTATGTTTCATACATACTTAAAGAAGAACCTTATCGCAACAATATCAAATGAAGGAGGAATTCTATTTTCAATAAATTGCTTCAAAATTCCAGCTGACATAAAGTTCCAAAAGCATTTAAATTTTCAATTAAAGATCAAAGCTTGTAACACTTTAGATGCTGACTTGAAGGACGCAAACAATATCAATCATGAATTGTATAACTACACAAATAAAAGTCCTTTAATAACATCAATCTACAAAACAGATAATTACTTTACAATTTGGGGATGTAACACAATTGCGCCACATTTAACTGATCGAGCAGCTTGGATATTGTTGGACAATGATGGGCAAATTGAGTATGATACGAAAAAGCTCAGAGTCTATCTTAATGATTTGTTACGAAAAATTAAACCACTTCTTAAAAAAATTGGTTTATCGCAACTTAATGTTGACTCATTCACGGTTTACAATATCACTAATGAATACTACTCATGCTACGATGAGTTGAACAAAAAATCTGTCTTTCAATATGTTATGAATGATTTCCCTCAGAAAATGAGTGCATTAAATGTATCAGACAAGACTATTGACTTGAAAGACTCAACAAAGTTGAAGATTACAGTCGCATTACTGATGCTAATCGGACATGTCTTATTCATGGTTGGATTCTTTACGATTGGATATCAGATCGTTATTAGATGTTTCAAAGAATAAGTTGGAATCTGAGACAATGATAAGCATTTAGACTTGATCGGAGAATTAATCAAATTTGTTGGATATGGAACAACCAAAAAGACAAACTAATTTGTATTTTTTGTAAGAAATTCGGCAACATTTGAGTCTTAATTTCTGATTTTGCAGCTTTTAAGGAGTAAATTCATTATTATGATCTTGAAATTTATAAAATAGACATAAAGCCTAAACTTTGGTAAATTGTAATTATAACATCAAATTGATATTGCATTAAAGCACAATAAAATAAATAATTAGCTATGCTTGATTTTGCTTAATTATAGTATTTTATACATTCCTTTTTATTTGAGGTAACATCCCTTATACAAGAGGTGTAATCAAGGAAGTCTACTCAAATAAGGAACTTTGCTCAGAATATACATTTTGGATGTTAGAGATCCTGTTAATGTGTTTAAAACGATTCTAAGAAAGACAACTTATTTTAATTATAAAAGAAAGTCTAAAGTTCTTTTGAACTGCATTAATAAAATTTTACTAAATTTATGGTAACGTGACAAGGATGAGGTAAAAGTTTCCAAATCGATTTTTGAAAAACTAGATCGCAATAGTAAAAAACTACAAGGAGAATTCCTAAGAATTTCAGTAGGATAATGACTTCATAGTAACTCGAAATAGTTGTATAATTATAGAAAAACGATAATCTTTTGTTTATCAATGCATTAGGGAAGTAAAGGGACAAGGAAATACTTTAAATGCGACTATAAAAGGAAGTCAATGTCAAAACTGTATTTCACATCGAGTAATTCATAGCTGAAACCTACAAATCTAAAGATTTAATTATCAAAAGGAATGGCAAAGCTTACAATCTTGTTCATCGTCGTCTCATCGTTCGCTGTCATTACAAATGCAAATATTTTCAATGGAAGCTGCGAACCAATTGTTAATGAAGATATTTGTGTGGATCAAAGCTATTTTGAGTATCTTACGGAACCGAAATCTTTCCAAGTAATTGGGCATATGGAGTTTGATAAAAGACAAGGAGTCACAATGTTCTACTCGTATCTCAAGACAAACTTAATTGCAACAATTTCAAGTTACAATGGCATTCACTTTTCGATTAATTGTTTTAAAATTCCATACAAAATTAAATATCAGAAATTCATGGATTTTCAGCTTAAGATACCAAAATGCAATGACGTTTATTCTTTATTCATGCAAATGCGCAACTTGAACTTTAATTTCAACAGACATGTGAACAAGGAACCAATTGTTATATCAACGTTCAAGATTGACAAATATCTATCGTTTTGGGGATGTAGACCAATGGACGGAAAATCTGTAGTTGACAGAGCAGCATGGATCTTAATGGATAATGGAAATAATATTGAATATGACAGTGAAAAATTGAAAGTTTATTTGGATGATTTCCTTGACAAATTAAGAACAAAAATCAATGAAACAAGAATAAAAATAAGTAGCAACTCTTTCACTGTCTACAATATATCAGACAAGTATACTTCATGTCATAGTTCATTTGACGAAAAAGCAGTCTATAGTGAAATTAAAAAAGATTTTCCTTCAAAGCAAATTAAACAGTCAAACCTGAAGATAGACGAATCAATGAAATTAAAGTTTGGATATATGATTCTTATGTTTTTGGGTCATTTCATTTTTATGTTGGTGTTCTTTGCAATTGGATATCAGGTAGTTATAAGATGTTACAAGGAATAGAATACTCATGATTTTATTTAAAAAGAAGCATATCTTTTTGAATTAGTTTCAAACAATTTTAAATTTGAGAATCACATTAAATGATTTAGAGCACATTTAAGTAATTTTAAGAATAATTCCATGTTTGGACATAAATTTATGAATAAATTATTAAAAATTTGTCATTTTTTAAAGACAATGAACTTAAATTGAGATGATTTGGAAGGATTAGCACTTGTTGATTATCTTCGACAAGAAAAGAATTACTTTCCTCTGATCACACTTTTTTGACAGTTCGATATCATGTTAATGTGCCTAGTACGATTCTTAGAAAGACAACTTTGTAATTTATTTATTTTAAACTACATTACAAAACTTTACTTTTAAAATAATATGACAATGAAACGTCAAAAGTTACAAATTGATTTTTATAATGACAATAATAAATAACTTTAAAAAGGATTCCTAAGAATTTCAGAATGCTATTATCGTGGTAACTCCATAAAAAAAATTATAGATGCAAAAGCGGAAGGATAAACTTTAAATGCTACTATAAAAGGAACTAATTGTCAAAATTTGTTTTCATTTCGAGTTATTCAGTGGTTTAATTTTTAAATTTGTGGATATCACAATCAATAAAAATGGCAAAACTCACAATCTTGTTCATTATCGTCACATCGTTCGCTGTCATCACAAATGCCAATGTTTTCAGTGGAAAGTGCGATCCAATCGTCAACGAAGATATTTGCGTTGATCAAATCTATTTTGAGAAATTGAAAGGACCAAAGTCATTCCAAGTAATTGGACATATGGATTTTCACAAACGGAATGGAATGACAATGTTCTACTCGTATCTGAATAGCAACTTAATTGCTACACTTTCAAATTATAATGGCGTTTACTTTTCCATTAATTGTTTTAAAATTCCATTTAATGTCAAGTATCAGAAATTCATGAATTTTAAATTGAATTTCCCAAACTGCAATAGCGTTTATTCCTTGTTCATGCAAATGCGAAGCGAAAAATTAGATTTTTATAAGCACACCAACAAGGAACCGATTGTTACATCAGTGTTCAAGATTGATAAATATCTCTCGTTTTGGGGATGTAAACCAATAGATGGAAAATCGACAGTTGAGAGGGCAGCATGGATATTAATGGATAATGAGAATAACTTCGAATATGACAGTGAAAAACTGAAAGTTTATTTGGAGGATTTTCTAACCAAATTCAGAACAAAAATTAATCAAACCAAATTACAAATAAACAGCAGCTCGTTCACTGTCTACAATATAACAGACAAACATACTTCATGCTATTATTCATTGGACGAAAAAGGTGTTCACAGTGAAATCAAAAGAGATTTTCCTTTAAACAAATTGACTCAATCAACATCAAAATTTGATGAATCAACAAAGGTAAAGTTCGGATATATGATTCTCATGTTTCTAGGTCACTTCATTTTTATGGTAGCTTATTTTGCTATTGGATATCAGATTGTTGTTTGGTATTGTAAGGAATAAGTCGTCCTTAACTGTATGAGAATTGTTTTGTTGGGGATTAGATGAGTTTCGTACGGTTTGAATAATTGTGATCTTTTAAATTAATGAATCAAAAAAGGGTCGTTCACTTGTGACGTCTGAGATTGCAGGAGGACGGTCCTTAAATCGTGTTTTTTTTTTGGATGTCATAAGTGAATGACCAAATATATTCTTAACTTTTTCAATATCTGTGTGGCTAGACATTTATCTAAAAAAAGACATTACTTACATCTCCAAATCACTCAAAATTTGTTTTTAAATTTGATAATCACATTTTAATTCTTTCTTGATTCAAGAGCACATTTACAATAGTTGTATGCATATTTCATGATTTTTTGACATAGTATATTGAATAAATTAATCCAAGCCTGTTCATTGCTTAATTAAAGGATTTTCAGGAGCTTTTTGCCAATTCTTAAAGATGATTTGCTTTAATTGAGATAATTTTAGAGAGGGATTTTCAGCTTTAAGGATTGGCATTTGTGCCTCCTCGTATGCTTTATATGCAGCTTTCATTCTCTTTTCTGGATGTTTATCATCTTCCGTATCATCTACTTTAAGGACTTTAATAGCATCATCAATTGTACTTGCTACATGAACATCAAACATGGCTCTATTAAAATTTTCTTCGAGTGGAGCTGGTTTTTGTACGACAACCCTTTCAGTTTTTTGTTTCAGGCTTTCAATATTCTTATTTCTCTTTGCAACTTCCATGTCAATTTGAGCTTTTGACATTTTAATTTGCGGGATCTTGGCTGCTACCACGATTGATTTCTCTTCTTCTTCCAGTAATGCCTTTTTCTCTGCTTTCTTTTTCAATAATTCAGCCTTTTTCCGTTCTTCCTCTGCCTTCTTTTCCTGTTTTTTTGCTAGATTCTTATCGTCATCAACCCATTTTGCTGGAATGGAAGAACAGTTATTAATTTCTGACTGTATGGGGGTTTGAAGTGGTTGGATCTTATGAAATGGACTGACTTATGATTGTGTAACTGAAAGCAACAAGCTGTTCCTTGACATAACAGCCAGAATACACAATTATACACTAAAAATCAATTTTTATTGTTATATTACCATCTTCCTTCCTTTTTTCATCTAATTCAGCTTTAGTCTTTTTTGCAGATGCAATCCTTTCACGTGCTTCAAGCGATTTGGTGTTTGTTGTGATCTTCTTTGGCATTTTACACGCTTTTTAAATTAATAACTCTAGATTTTGAATTTTTTTTAACTTTTCTAGGGCGTTGATTGCTTTCATGAAAAAATATTTTGAATCTTATAACTTTGAGTATCTTCTGTATGCCTTAAAATCATGTTTTGAATGAATCTTACCATTCAACGGTTAAACCAAATTCAAATTGTGCAACAAGAGGGTATGAAACTTGTGATATGTTTATTTACAAATTTTGGCGGTAATTTCATTTGTTCTTAATCAAATCACCTTTTTCTCAATGAATAACAAGTTAATTAAATAAAGTGAGCATAACAATAAATAGCTTAAGAACGAAGCTATTGAATAACAAAGATCCAGTTTACCTTTTCAATCTAGAAACAGCAAAATATCAACAAATCAAAAATGATCATTGAAATAGAAGGAATTAAGATTGATTTCCCGTTTGAGCCTTATGCTTTGCAAAAAGACTACATGACGAAGGTGATTCAAGCTTTACAGTCACAACAGAATGCAGTATTAGAATCTCCAACAGGTAACAATATAAATTAATTTGAATTTCACAACTTTATGAATTCCTTTATATTTTCTTAGGAACCGGTAAAACTTTATGTCTACTGACTTCATCACTTGCTTGGTTGCTGCAACAAAAGAATCAGATGATGAGTAGGGAGAAGGCGAATCTTAATTTCCAAGCAGGCGAAGTTATGAAGAATATGAAAGGTTTAGGTTTCAATCCAGAGGATGTAACAGCATTAATAGATCCTAGTACAGATGGAAGGCAATGGAGAGCATCAACTATTATTTATACATCCAGAACTCATTCACAATTGACTCAAGCAATGAGAGAATTAAAGAATTCAGACTATAAAGATGTCAATTCTGTTGCTTTAGGTTCCCGTGATCAGTTATGCATTAATCCGGAAGTTCTTGAAGAAGGCAAGTCTGGAACTGAAAGAAATACCATGTGTCAATTGAAAGTAAAGAAGAGGCAGTGTAAATTTCGTGAAAGAGTTGATAAATGCACATCAAATCCAGAAGTTACAAATATGCCAATAAAAGATATCGAGGATCTAGTTACAATAGGAAAGAAATGCACAGCATGTCCATACTATTTATCTAGAGATCTCGCAGCAAATGCTGACATCATTTTCATGCCTTACAACTACTTATTAGATCCAAGAATCCTTAAAGGTTTTAAAATTAATTTAATTGATTCTGTTGTGATCCTCGATGAAGCACATAATGTCGAGAAAGTCTGTGAGGAATCAGCAAGTATACAATTTGCATCAAGTGACATAACAAATTGTATTAATGATATTGCTCATGTCATGAAAATGTTAAATAAAGAAGAGGATATAATGGAATTTGTGGACGATGAAGATGTCGAGAAGGATTTTACATTAGAGGATCTAGCGAAATTACAAGATATCATGCTGACACTTGAGAAGGAAGTTGATAAAATTGATTCTGTGTTTGTAAAACAAGGTCAGTATTAACGGGCATTTTTTATTCAAAATTTAACAGCTTAAAAATATTTTGAAAATTTTAAAATTTATGCAACCGGTATAAATTAAATCTTTTATGTCCGTTATTTAGGACGAACATTTCCTGGAAGTAAAATCTTTGATATCTTTCGTGCAGCCTCTATTGATCAAATTTCATATCCAATGATAAGAAAGTTAATTGACAGTTTATCAGTGTTTCTGACACAAAGCTCTGCAGGCAATTTATTTGGTAGAAAAGGCGGTGGATTGTTAAAAATAATGCAAGTACTAGAAGTTGCCTTCGATGGATGTGGTGATGTCGATTTTAATCAATATTTAAAAGACATGGATCGAGGATATAGAGTTCATGTAGAGATAGAAATTGAAAGAAAGAAAAATGATTCTGGTGGATGGATTTCACAAGCAAAATTGACAGGAAATCCAAAAGTCATTAATTATTGGTGCTTTAATCCTGGATTTGGAATGGCTAATTTATTGAGACGTCAAGTAAGAACTGTCATATTAACAAGTGGAACTTTAGCACCACTAAAGCCATTAATCAGTGAATTAGCAATAAATATTGATCACAGACTTGAAAATCCACATATCATCAAATCCAATCAAGTCATGGTAAAAATCATTAATGCTGGACCAGATAAAGAACCATTATGTGGAACGTATGATAATCGTGACAATCCAAAATATATCAAATCGATGGGAATGACAATACTTGGAATATCTCGTGTAACTCCAAACGGTGTGCTGGTTTTCTTCCCGTCATATCCAATGATGAATAACTGTTTTGAAATGTGGAAAAATACAGGCATTTGGCAGTCACTTTATGAGATTAAACCTATTTTAATGGAACCGCGTGGAAAAGATGAATTTGCTGAGAGAATTGGTGAATATTATGATCTTGTGAAGCTGAAGAAAGGTGCAATCTTTATGGCTGTTTTGAGAGGTAATTTTTGATTTTTCAAAACCATACAAATGTAAAAATGTTCAGAACCCTTCAAATGTTTTTTGAAAACTCAGAACCATACAAATTTTTTAAATTCAAATATAATTTAACCGTTACAATGCTATTTACATTTTACCTCTCAGGAAAAATCAGCGAGGGTCTCGACTTCAATGACCATAATGCACGTGCTGTAATCATCTGTGGCATTCCATTTCCTCCTATGATGGATCCAAGAGTTATTTTAAAGAAGAAATATCTCGATATTAATAGAAACAATGTTAATCAACTACAAAGTGGACAAGAATGGTATGTGCTGGAAGCTGTTCGTGCTGTAAATCAAGCTATTGGTCGTGTTATTCGTCATAAAGATGATTATGGTGCTATATTTTTGTGTGATCGACGATTTCATCAACAAAAGACTCAACTTTCTCGATGGATTCAGCCGCATTTAATGAAGCAATCAGTTGGTGACGTAAATTTTGGAATGATAATTGGTGAGCTTGCTAGATTCTTTAGAAATTTGAGTGGTTCCATGCCTGAGCCTCCAGTTAGACAGGAAAATAAGGAGATTAAGAAGGAAAATGTTGATTCTAATGGATATTTAAGCACAACAGTTGCTGGTAACAAAATGATGAGACAACACATCAAAATTGAGAGTTCTAATGAAATTTATGGCACGCCATCATTACCAATTCAAAAATCTGAAGAATTTACAAAATATTGTGAAGGCATGCAGCAGAAAATTAAAACTGAACCGCAAGGATTTATGGGAAGCCTTAATCGTGAAGTTTCTGTGATAGATTTTAATTCAACATCAATTGGTGAAAGTTCTTCGTCAAGTACGTCCATTAAAACTGCTCGTTCCTTTGATTTCTCACAAGATTCTGAAAATGCTAGCAAGAAAAGACGACTTAAGATGATTCCAAATGCAAATCAGCTGTATAGTGAACCACAATCTTCAGTTCTTGAACAATTAAGAAGCACAAAAGTTCGTGTAAAGAGAAGCGATTATGATCGGCAAGTTTCGAGCGAGAAGAAGGAATTTATCGGAGAGGTGTGCTGATTTTTGATGCTTTAAAATTTTGAATTTAACGAATTTTTAAGATTTGAAAATTAACCGGCTTTTCAAATTTAAACTTTTTTCGTAGAATTTTCAAATATCAAAAATCCGTTGGAATTCAAAATTTAAAAAGCCGTTAATTTAGATTATATTTTAACTAGTATTCTCCAAATTCTAGCTTAAGTCAACAATTTCGATTGAAGGATACAAAATCTATTTAGCAACGCTTTATTCCTACAATAAGAAGGATTACACAATTGAGAAGGCACTGGATAAGTTTGTGATTCTTTTCAAGACATCGCCAAAAGCAGTCGCATTTTTGAGAAATACAAGAAGTTTCTTGCGAGAGGAAGATAGACCAGCACTAGACAGAGCTATTGAAAATAATTTTGTCATTGACTGATTTATTTAAATATGATTATTGCTAAAGTTAAGTTTTTACAAAAGAGAAAATTAAATAAAATCTGATTAAAAATTAAAATAAATAATTTTGGACATGCTGCATACCCCTCGACATCAACAGCACATCCAAAACATAAACAATCCGTGAAAAGATGAATTCGTTTAAGAAAAAATCAAAGAAAATTAAAAAGAAACGCGATAAAAAAGGCAAAAAGGACAAGAAACGAAGTAGAAGATCGAGTAGCTCAAGCAGTTCCAGCAGTAGTGATTCGTCATTAATGTCCACGTCCTCTAGTTCATCCGATTCAAATAAACATAAACAAAAGAAGCGAAAACATAAAAAAGATCATAAAAGGAAGAAAGCCAGACGTTATGAAGACAAGTCAAAAGATGGAGAATCCAGTAAAAGTCAGATAATCATCCCAGTTCTAGATAATCAGCCAAAGTCCGAAGAAGATAATGACTTTACAATTCCTTTACACTTAATGGACAATAATCATAAGAAGCCAGAAACAAAAGAGGAATATGAGAAGAGGCAAAGCATTCTAAGGAGAGTTGTGGATGAAGAAACTGGACGAACTAGGCTAATTAAGGGTGAGTTTTGATTGTAAAGATTTGATTAAAAAGATCCAGTGAAATAAAAAAGATCCAGGATAGAATTCTTAAAACATTCTTATTGGAATTTGAAGGTGCTCTGGATCTTTTAGCTTATAAATCAATTAATAACGCTTCTCAACAATTTTAGGTGATGGAGAAATCATCGAAGAAATGGTCACAAGAGACAGGCATAAAGAAATCAACAGACAAGCTACACAAGGTGATGGACAATCTTATCAGAACAAGATGATTGGCTGGGCTGTAACGAGCAATAAGAAATGAAGCTCTTTTGGTTGTGATTTATACAAAATATATCGAATCAGAATAAAATAATTCATTTAATTGATACAAAGTGTTTTTTAATTGATTTGCATGCTAGATCTGTGTTTAGCATTTTGAGGACTAGCTTGCTATTAGTCTATAATCTTTTTGGAATGTAACTTGCCTTTTGAGACATCCAGTAACCAAAATGCATCCGAAATACTCCACAGAGCTCTAGATGCTTAATAAAACCTTTAAAATACTCGGTAGTCTAGTGGTGAGTAGCTCAATAAAAATGAATTAAAACTCCAGCAGTTCCTTTAGTTTCTAAGGAAAATCACAAGATAATTTTACTTTCTTTTATTGTTTGTTTCTTCTAAAAGTTTTTGATTACATTTTCATTTTTGTCTACTTAATTAAGTTTTTTCATTATTATCATCAAAATTCAATAAATATATAAATTTAATATTTTAACGAGCAACCTCTTAAAAATGACTTGTTGTGTCGCTATCCAAAATGACATGAAACAGAAATAAAATAAAAATAAACCATTCATTTCCGAGCAGCACATGATCGCTCAGAACTCTATGTATGAACATTAATTAACGACATAAAATAGCTTTAAAATCATAATTTAGGGACTTAAATTTTTTTCTCATGCTTCATTCGCTTAAATTTACGTGTCTTTACCTAAAACAAAGAAAGAGAAAGAAGGAATCAAGTATTAAAAATATCACATGCAATTTAAATAATTATAATCATTGAAAATAATTATAGACTTCCGCGCTTAATCGTATTTAAAAGCGTGTGGGAAGTCAAATAAAAATAATTCAACAGGGTTCAAATGAAATCAATCAGTGCTGGGTAAATAATAATTTTCTGTGAAAATTGTGTGTGAGTTGAAGATTTGCTGGAGCTGATTAAAAAAAGTTGAGAAACCTACAATTCCTATTCAAATAAAGCTGTTGTATGGTTTTCAAGATTTAAAACTCAAATAAAACCATAAAACGGCTATAAAATTGATTTGTTGTATTGCCTTTGAAATTTAAATTTTTAAAAACCATACAACGGCTATATAATGGAGCTGTTGTTTGGTTTTCAGACCATCTTCCCAATCCAGAACCAAACAATTGTTCCAAAATCTGTTATAAGGTTTTGAGACAATTTACTCGAGAACCTTACAAATTCAAACCATCAATTGCTGTTGTAATGTTCTCAATAATTCAAATTATTTTATTTTTTGCTGTTGTAAGGTTTCTTAAGAACTCAAATTCTCAATCAGGCCCAACAATCTTCGCATCAATCATTTTAAGTGTCGTGCATAGACTCATTAATCTATAATTGTAAATAGTTTTCAAAAAACTTCATCAAATTCAATCATGCAGATTACAAAGATCCAAAAAGTCTGCCAATAGTTGCTACAGTCAGTGAAGTCTTCAACTGTTTAGCAGAGAAGGATTTACTTTCTTAGCAATTCTGCTCTATCATTCGAGGATTCAAAAGTGACAATTACTGTATTTATTTCTAATCCATATGATGTCTCTATTGTGTTTCTCAGAGATTCCTATATTCTTGTATAAAGGATTGCCAAACGACCTTGAAGACTTTACTGCTGTGTGTTTTAAAATGTGCAAGGATATAAATTTCTTTAAAACTTTTAAATAGTTAACTTTAGATAGGATAAGATTAATAGAGGAAGAGAATTCAATATTATACGTGGGAAAACTTAATTCTAGGTGATGCTATTATAAAAGCAAATGGAATCATCAACAAGTGCATCATTGGAAAAACTATAAATGATATAAAAGCGTATACAGGACATCCAGAGTTGGTGATTGATGGATTTTGAGGTTATGTTTGACTTGATTTGAGTAGTTTTGGGTCTTGTTACTGACACCATTAAGCTTACATCCGCGACACAGACCCCAAGAGGACATTAAATAAGTTGAAGATTACCTCAAAATCCAACAATCACCAACTCTGCACAAATTCGACCTTGATCCACCCAATAATCCCGTCCACAATTCTTCATAACATCCATTATATCCACGACATTACATTATCGATAAAACAATTGCATAGATTGTTCCACAACAATTTTCTCTTCTTCATCACATCCACAACATCACGAAGAAAGGGAAAATTTCAGTATGACTTCATTATCCGAAAATGTAACATGACGTTATGCATGACTCATGATCCGTTGGAAATTATATTGTTAAGGATGTATAATTAGATTCTTTTGAACTTTGATATAATTGATATTTGACCTACGTGACACAAAAATGAACTAATATCCGGCTAGTCTCTTTTTTTTTGGCTTATCAAATGACTTGATATCGATTTAGAACAATCGAATGATATTAAAGTTTGACACTAGGGAGAAATCGATAGTTTCTGCCGTAGAATTGTGATTGCAAAATGTTATGAAATCCCCATAAGCGACAGTCGTGAAAAAAGGAAATTTGATAATGAATTTTTATGCTAGAAATTCGAGTGTTGGAAGTAATGAGATTGGTATTTAAGTACTGATTATTATCAAACATTAATGGTGTTTGGGTCTTTTGTTATATTTTTCTAAATTTGAGTTTAAGTAGTGAGATCTAAAAATGGGAGTTCAAGACTTTACAAAGTCTTAAAAAATTCGATTTTTTAACGGTTTTCAAAAATTTGAATTTTACCAAATTTCAAAATTTTATATTCAACAGTTTAAATTTTTGAAAGCAGTTAAAATTTGAATTTTCAGAATCTATTTTAATTCAAATTTTTGAAAACCGTTAGAATTTAAATTTTTCAAAACCGTTAAGATTTAAATTTTTGAAAACCGTTAAAATTCAAATTTTAAAATTTACCTAACATCCAATCTACCAAAATTGAATCCTCAATATTATTATAATTCAAATATATCAGAAATTGTGCGATATTTGCATAAAAGTTGCTATTTCTCTAGACTTTTCTAGATGTTTGTCTGTCAGATCTATCACAAATTTACGAAATCTACAGTTCAATAAGAACTAATTAGTTAAATTCCAATTGTTCTCGTTGGAAATCTACATAACACTCAATATTACTATTGACTTTAGAAATGTTTTTTGGATATAACTGCAATTAGTTTTATTTGCTCTGTCAATCGAACGGAAAATGTCACTTGAAAACCTCCTGACTCAGCCTTTATACTGAGAAAAAATCTTTATACGACGTATTCCTTATCCGATATAACTTTAATTCCATGCTCAGTAAAAACAAATTTAATCATTTCGTCATAAGATTTGGGACTGAAACGTCCACGTGCATTATGATTTGGTGCAGCATTAAGTGATTCAGAATCAGTTTGATCATCATCTGGTTGTGCATTAATCTGTTCTGGTGATCTGGGTGATTGAGTCTCGTCCGTGTCATCAGGTGCACCAAAATCATCATCGTGCGATTTATTTACAGGATTTTGTGCATCATTTTCACCCACCTTATCACCCCGACTTGTCTCATCACTGTGAACTTGTACAGCACTGCCAGGTCGAGGTAAAATACGTACATTAGTTCCATCCGCAGATGCACAGCAAAAGACTTTATGTAGGGAATTTGTGCTGACAAAATCAACTGTTAAACTAGCTTTTGAGGGTGGTGGAGGCATTGGAAAATCACCTTCATCCATACTTTCGAAATCCTCAACTGCTGAACTTTCATTTTTCTCGTTCTGCTTCTTCACATAACTCTCATTAAATGTTGAATTTTCACTTTCGGGCGAAATGGGCGTTAAAATGACATCGATTGTACTAACCGATGTGGTTGTAGATGTTGGTAATATGTACTTGCTGTATATATATATTTTTTTGCACATTCAATTATCCGATTGAAGCAATTATTATTATTATTTTGTTAGACATGAGATAGAAGGAAGAGAAAGAAAGCACGAACATATTTTTTTTGTATTCAAAATTTAACCAAGAAGAAAATTAAGAGAAATTGGAACTGAATCAACTGAAAATGTATTATTGAAATAAAAAATGAATCAAAAAGCTTTAACTTCGATGTTCATGAGAGAAACAATTGAATATTTACCGGATTTTCTAAATTTAAAATGTAACGGTTTTCAAAAATTCAAATTCAAGCACTCGATAAATTCAAATTTTTGAAAACCGTTAAATTTTGAATTTCACAAACCCGTTAGAAAATTGCTCTACAAAAATCAAGGAAATTAACTTAATTCTCATTGATGCATTCCCAGCATGAACACAACAATCCACGTTTGTCACAATATAAATAAACAGAAGAAGAGAAAAGACAAATCTCATTCCATTAATTTCTCAATTTACTTACGTATCATCACTTGACGTTGTTTGATATAATCCATGCTTATTTATGTACTCAATAACGAGGTCATCAATAAGATATTTCACAGAGAGTTCACGTTTAATAAATTTCCGAACAAGAGATGACGATACTTCATTTGGGATCCAATTTGTAACTATTGTGATATTTCGTTTATATTTATTGAGTAGGTCTGAATCGAAGATGAATTTGTCGAGATCTGAGTTGTTTCTGGTGACCACGACAACGCCATGATGGCCAAGAATTGCAGCTATCTGTGAATGTAAGGAATATAAGGAATTAATAATTTAATACTTAACGGTTTTTTGGAATTCAAAATGTAACGGGTTTCAAAAATTCAAACAACTAGAAAATTCAAACTTTTTGAATACCGTTAATGTTTAAATATCAAATAAACTGTCAAAATCAAGACATTCTTACATCATCAGGCTCCCAAAGCCCAGGCGTAGCAAAAGATTCCAGTAAATCAGCACCACACAGCAATTTCACTTGAACTGGATCTCTAGTTTGTCGAATATTGTCAGGAACCCAACTTGGCCAATTACTCTTTGAATTCAGTCCATTTAAGTCTCGAATAATTGAATTTACGTAGTTCTGATGAAATTGTAGTGTCATTCGTGTTCTTGACCATCCTTCTTGTTGCATTTCCCATTCAGAAATTCTAATCCAGTCTGATGAATTTGTTGCTATTTTTAACATTGAATGTCGATGTGTCTGTGACACTAAACCTTTCTTCCCGTAAGCGTCATGAACAGGCGACATAATTCCACCAATTACCTCAAATCCCATTTGTGTAAAATGATCCTTTGCTATTTCTGTGGATATAAAGGCATTAAAAATAAGATCCAGTAAATATTTGCACAACAATTGAACTTACCAAACATTCTTAAATGCATGAATGTCGGTGGATTATAAGATCCACAAGCTATAAACATTATCTTGTTACTCATTTTGGAAGGATATTTAATTTAATGTATTAAATACGGAATAATACACGAAAATGTATTTATTTTTCACTGTATTTTATCTTTTCTCACTTCATAGCCACTCTTGATCATGATATTCATATTAAATCACAATAACAGTGGATATACGTGCTGTCTTTTGTTATCTTTGATGTTAAATGAATTATTTTGATAATTTTTTTTTTCAAAATACTTGCAAAACAACTGACACGAATATTTTGATTCTGTAATTTTTACATGAACACACTTTTTTGAATTTTTGAAAACCGTTATAAGAAAAATTCAAAATATTAGTGACAAGAGCTAGCTGGGTGAAAAAAACGTAAACATCAGTGTGATTATTTTAAAAATGCTAAAAATGAGCGAGGACGACATTATCTATGCAGTCCTGCTGATTCTTGGCATTGCTTTTGGTCAATTCTATCGAAAAATCAACGATGCAGGACTCAAAAAGATTATTGGAACTGTTTTTGGACTTGTTACTATATTTTACACAAGCGGTTTTCAATCACTTCACATCTTTATCAGTTTTATAGTCTGTTGCTTCATAATTAAGTATGATCAGAGGTAATATAATCAGTCGTGTGATGTTCTTATCATTTATTTTGTTTGTTTGGTTTCATTGAACTTGATGAAATTAATTTTATTGCTGTAACTGCTTCTTTTGACATTTTCAAGGTTCCAGTTACTCAATTCTCCACTTGATCTTTATGACTAACAGTCTATTTATAATTTTAGGAGATGTCATTTAATATGCTTCTGGTTTATGATGATTTATCTCTTATTCTTCCGAATGGTTGGTCTTATTGGACTTCCAGTTCCTGCTGGACACACAAACATGATCCAAATGATATTGACACTTAAGATCATTGGCTTTGCATTCGAGAAGAACTCGGTGTTGACAAAAATTAAAGAAGCTGGAGATAAATTGGAACTATCAGCATCTGATAAGGAAATAAGGAACAGTTCCTTCATTGATATCTTCCATTATTGCTTCAACTATATTGGAATGTTGACTGGTCCATACTTTACTTACCGTACCTTTTATGATTACTTTAATTATCCATTCTACAAACATGCTGACTGTTTTAAAGCTACATTACAAAAACTAGCTTGGGTTCCATTTTATGCTGGATTATTCCTACTCACTTCCTACATCTGGCCATCAGAATACATGGAAACAACTGAATTTTATGAATCTCGCTCATTCCTTTACCGATTATTCTATGTCTGGCCAACATTCTTTATCTTTAGAATGAGAATTTACGCTGGAATCACATTGGCTGAATGTATGTGTATTAGTGCAGGCTTGGGATGTTATCCTAAAGTACTAGAGGTAAACATCCTCCATAAATAACTCTTTGTAGCCATTATCAATTGATTTATTTACAATTTACAGGCTAAATGTGGTCATGGACCATCAACGGCAATCACCAAAGAAATTGTTGATAGCACTGAAAAGCATGAATATGATTTTGAAACCATTGAGAATATAAATGTGCCGAACGTTGAAAAATGTTGGACATTCAGAGAAGCTATGAAGCACTGGAATAAATGTGTACAGTATTGGCTAGCTATGTATGTCTACAAGAGATTCCCAAGTAAAAAGTATCGTGTCATGGCTACAATGGCTGTATCTGCTTATTGGCATGGAATTCTTCCTGGACATTATTTCTGTATCCTTGGACCGATTGTTTATCTTCCGGTTGAGGATGTGCTCCTTAAAGTCTTCAAGTCTGATGACCCAAATACCCAAAAAATCTTTAATATCATCACTTGGATCTTTAAATTCTTTGCATTCAGCTATTTAGGAACAGCTTTCGTACTTAAGGATGTCAGGAAGATTTGGCATTTTTACAGTTCCGTCTATCATTTTGGATACTTCTTCTGGCTTACTTTGTACCTGATTTGCTCATTTATTTACACGCTTAAAAAGAAGGCTCAGAAACGAACAGTTAAAGATACTGAAAAGAAAGGAGAATAATTGAATTATTATAGAATCTATTCCGTCAAATTTATAATTTACCAATAATACTCTTGATTTGAATTTATACAATTGGCATTTAGTTCCGATTTTTAATTAAACTTTTATGTATTTTGTTGTGCTTTGTTTATTGCAAAACCCTTTTTTTACGTTGCATGACCTGCTTTAAGTTTGCTAGAGACAGTTTTTAATCATTTAGATTAATTATGTGTAATGTGAGGATTTTATAGCCAAATGAGAATTAATGTAAAATAAAGCAATTGATTAGTGAACCATTTTAAGAATTCAAATGTTTAAGGAACCGTCTCCAGTGTGTCACGAAGCATTCAAAAAAAGTTCCTATATCCAAAAATGCCACATACTCAGCATAGCTATAGGAACTATGCTCAGGATTTAGGAATATACTAATTCAACAATATAGCAAGGGTCAGACACTCCAAAGTATTGTACGGTATTGTACAATACTTACAATATTTTCCATACAAGTATTGTAGTATTGTACAATACCTACAATACTTACAATACTTGCCATATAAGTATTGTACAATACCTACAATACTTACAATACTTGCCATATAAGTATTGTAAGTATTGCAAGTATTGTACAATTCTTACAATACTTTTCATATAAATTTACAATACTTACATACTGAAATTTAATTATTCAAGAACCAAATTTTAAAAGAAATTAAATATTTTTTGAGTTTTCAACAATTTGTAAAACCAAATTTAATACTTTTTTTGAAAATTAGCAGGGTATTTTATGAAAAACTAGCACAAATTTCAGTTTTCCATTAAAAGAGAGTATTTCTGATTATGTAATGGCTATAAAAATCAGAGATCGAAGCCGATTTTTTCGGCTTAACTCAATTTTTGATTTTTTTGATAGAAAAAAACCATTTAACACCCATTTTAAGTATTTAAATTGAACTTTACATGCTTTACTATGATTCTGTGAAATATTTTGTCAGCATGTAGCTATAGTGAGCTCAGAATTTCAAGTTAAAGAATGTTGAGCCGAAATTTAAGCCGATCGGCTTAAAATCGGCTAAATTGAAATTCAGAGCTTACTATAGCTACATGCTGAAAAAATATTTCACAGAATGATTGTAAAGCATGTAAAGTTCAATTTAAATACTTAAAATGGGTGTTAAATGGCTTTTTTCTATCAAAAAAATCAAAAATTGAGTTAAGCCGAAAAAATCGGCTTCGATCTCTGATAAAAATGGTAAAAAGTTCAAAATTCTTTTGTAAAGCTAGACTGATGCAAATCAAGAATTGATTTCATACAATTCTCATGCATAAAACCGTACAGGTATGAAGTTTATTATGTAAACTAATATTAAATGTCAATAAGGAATCAAATTTAAATAGATTGGTTTCATTTTCACAAGATTTATCACCCTTTATAGAAAACTGCATTACGTTTTATACAAATTTTTTGATCAAAGTATAAGGTTTTAAGTGTATTCAAACATAACTTTGACGATTTGATTTTTTTTAACGTCTGACAAGAAGGCGATTAAGAAGGAATCAAATTTAACAAACTTATCAAATGGTTTTTATAGCAATTTTTTTTTGAAAATACACATTTTCAACAACTGCATCTCTAAGATAATATAAAACTGTATATTTTCTTCTTTCTTTGTCAAAATTATTCTTATTTTTTTAGTTTTCATAGTTGATACTAGACTTTCACGATTTCCTGTTCCCGAAATTTTTGGGACAGAAACCCGATGAATAACAATAGTTATCCAAAAAATTTTAATGTCAAATTATCTCAATTGAAAAGTTTCATCATTTAAACACAAAAAAATGTGACTTAAAAAAACTAAACCTCGGTGTTACCTCTATAAAATTGAAGCAAACGTTAAAGTTCCTCTAATATGAGGAGACTAATGTCTAATATTCTCATCTTATCTATGTTTTCGTTAATAATGTTTGATATTTTTGGCTGCATCTGGCGTTATATCGCCTTTGTTTCGAGCCAGAATACTTTTTTGCTATTGACAATTTTGAAAAATGACTTTATTAGCAAAAATTTTGTATACAAATATTTTCACAATATTTGTATATGTTTTAGACTGAATATTTTTGAAGAACTATTAAATTTCAATTAAAACTTAAAAATATTTGGTTCAAAATTGCTAATTATGTATTTTTATCAAATTTTGGTTCAAAAATGTAAAGAAGCACGAGAAACTACATAAAAACCGTCAATTATAATCAAATTCATATGACAAATGTTTCTCAAACTGTCTTGGAAAAACTACAATACTTACAATACTTTCCATACAAGTCATACAAATACTTGTCATGTCTGACCCTTGCAATATAGCTATCCCAAAAAATCACCTATCCACCCTGAAACCCACGCAAATCACAAAACAATCTATCCTATCTTCCAAAACATAAAGTCATAAATTTTTATATCCCATAATCACCGATCCGCTCCTATATAATGCGTATAGATATTTGATACTCTGTTACTTTTTGTTTCAGTTACATTGCAATCATAAGGATTCATTGACTGAGAGACATACTCAATTTCACATAAGAAGTGTATGTGCATCGACCAATTTCTCTCGCAAACAGCACAGCACAGCACAAAAATTTCCTTTCAGCTTTGTTTTTATTACTTTTTTTTCTCAGTTTATTGTAAGATTTTAATGTGTAAACATCGCATGTGCTGTTCATTGAGTTTGACGTGACTGAAAAAGAGAGAGAGTTTAAATTATGATATTGAAAAATCCAGTATATCCCCCGGGGCATACAGAACATCAGGATGATGGACATAAAAAGTTATCAGTATTTTTCGCTGCACTTTGCATTATCGACTTATTTGGAGTATTTCCAATCGTGACATTACCAAAATCACTCATCTCATGTGGAGTCTATGCATTTCCATTAATATTATTTGTGTTTAGTCTGCAAATCTACACAGCTGTTGTGCTGGGACGTTGTTGGGTGATTGCTGAAAAATTAGATCCAAGGATTTTGAGGAAAAATCGCTATCCATATGCTGCAATAGCTGAATTCTCATATGGAACTGGAATGAGGATATTTGTCACAGTATTGCTCGATTTAACGGTTTTCGGTGAGTTTCTGTCTTTTTTTTTTTGATTGACTTGAGGCACAGCATGATTCCAAAAATAATTTGTTAACAGGCGCCGGAATTCCAAATTTATTAGTCGCATCGCAGAATCTTCAACTTTTGGGATTAAGGATATCGAACGACTCATTCAACTTCTCATTCTGTTACTTCCTTCTCATAATTGGATTATTTCTATCTCCATTGATGTGGCTTGGATCGCCGAAAAATATGAGGTAGGTCATATGCTGAAATTATCAACAATTAATTAGCTCATGTTTGTTATCAAGGAATGTTCGGGAAAGCATTTGAACCATAAAATATGATTGGCATTTAAAAATGACGCATTTTGTGCTCTTCTTTAGATTTCTTGCAAGCATTTCTGTTTGTATATGCACTAGCGTTGCAGTTATGACGTGGATTTGCGTGTATTGGGAGACTGATGATCCTGCTGTGACACCAATTGAAGAATTTGATCCGAAACATCCACCTTGGATGAATTTACTTAAAGGTAAGGGCTCTATCGGTGCTTTATAACAGCTAAGTAGTCATTTTTTTTGGAATCTTTCATAAATGAGGTCAGAAATTTGATTAGGATTAGAAATTGTGGCTGTAAAAGTTTTAAAAATCCAACTTTTCATTAAACGTCATTTATGATCGAACCCCAAATTAAAATATAAACTTTTAATTTGACAAACCTGTATTGATCAGCATATAATGATATATGTGTAGGATGGTTGGTCTTTAAACGATGAACATCATTTGTAAGACTCACTTTGATGAATGAATAATGATATCCACCGAGATTTGTGTACGTGACTAATTATTCAAAGATACGAAAGACTTTCCGAAAGTTCCAAATTTAAATCAAATTTATTTTTGAACGAAAAAGCCTACTGATATTAAATTAAGGCATGTTATTTTTAGATGAATTTCTTAATACGATGAAAGTGGAAGGGGTTGATGTTGTTGTTGCGTTTACGTATGACAAGATTGACTCAAAACATTTATGTTTCCTTCTATTTCCGGAAATAAACTTTTGTTTTATGAAGTTTTTGATTAACTTATAAAATGCAATTTAACGTCCACAACTAAGCATAAAAGTACATTGTGTGACAAAAGTTCAATCGAGTTTGTAAGGACTTTACAGAGTATACATGCTTAAAATCATAGCCTGATTCTTTTCCATGGGGTGGGTTTGATTTTTTTGTTTGGATTAAAAACATTTGAGCGGGGAGGTGAGGGGGGGGGGGGTTAATTTTACCAAATGTAGTTCACAGGCTATGGATTCATTTACAGACTAGGAGTCGTTCACTGATTAAAGAACAGGAAGTGGGGTCGGTAGCGAGCTTTAGAAACTTAAAAATTTGGGTCATTCATAAATTAAGAATAACAATCAGTGTTGTCATGTTGGGGAAGGGGGACAAAAAATCCCAATTATAGATGGACGGTATTTATGAAACATTGCATAATGATATAGTGAATCATATCATCTTATACTTATTGACATACAAAGAAATTGATGCAAGTCAATGCTAAAATATTGCGTCAATATAACCTACAAAGTATCAATTTCTTTTGTTTCACTATCAGGTGAAATAGATGCCAATGATTCAGAAGACATGTACATACATATAATTTTGTGATAAAATAGACTTTAAGGATTAAAAGAGTATTATTTTAATTTGCTTAATAAATCATTGATTCATATGATGATGCTCATGCTATGATTTATACTATACAGTAAGATTGTTACTGTAAAGAAGGAAGTTGTAGCTACAGAAAGGAGTTTAATAAGATATTATTTGGGAAACTGGGTTTTAAAATACAGAATAATAAAAAAATCGATCTAATATAGTGATTGCAGATGAATCAAATCAATCCAATTAAGTTTTTGAACCTAAGACTTGTGGAGAAATCTTTCATATTTTAATTTTTGCTACAACTTTTTCGATGCATAACTCTATATATAAAGACTTACTACATCCCCACAAACATTTAACCTAATTATTACTTCCCCAACCTCCATACAGCATACGGAATTATCGCCTTCCAATTTGACATCCACCCAATGTTGCTTACAATTCAAGTCGATATGCAGGACAAGACGAAAATTGGTCGTGCTGTTTTTAGTGGCATAGTTTTTACATGCATGCTCTCACTAATCACAACATTTATGGTATTTTATACGTATGAGCAGTCAATAGCATCAAATGTTCTAGAATCGCTACCTAAGAGTTGGACGCTTTATGTGATTATTTTATTAGTCACATTGCAGCTTTGTTTATCGAGTGCTGTGGGAAATAGTGCATTGTTTCAACATATTGAGGATCTGTTGGGAATTCAAAGACGTAAGTTGATAATCTGCTACTGAATGACGTTGTGTGCTTACCACATATATTAATTGAGGTAAATCCGCAGTTGATTTATCAATTATCTTCATTGTTGTGCATCATCATGTAATTTAATTGAATATTTTCAATTTCCACAGACTTCAACATTGGGCGATGCATTGTGCGGAGTATATTGGTATGGTTGGCAGTTTTCCTTGGCGAACTCATACCTAAATTCGATCTGGTAACATCAATGATTGAAAAATTTACATAATCATGTCAATAAATTAATTTAATTTTAGGTCATGGGCGTTATTGGAGGAACATTGACTGGTAAGTTGTGGGGTACTTAAATGACGTCTCTTGCTTGACTTCTGGATGAACAGATTGAGGTTTTAGAAATTAGGTTGACTTGTCTATCCACCCCCTTGTTCCCAGATCAAAAGTGTAGACGTCATTTCTGAACAGCCCCAACAAAAATTGAATGCCATTCAAAAAAGTTGCCTCCGTCAATGAAAAATTGATTATTTTTTAGGTCCATTAATCTTTATCTTGCCACCACTCTTCTATACCAAACTGCTGCAACTCGAGAAAATTCATGACGAGGAAATGAGAATTTTGATGCTTGAAGAATACATGAATGACGAAGATCCATTAATAAAATTACCAAAATATGGTGCGATTGCTGAATTTCATTCAACTAGTGATGAGTCACTTGCGTCTAGATGTCAAGAAGGAATAATGAAGCTACTGAGAAGTGAATGTACATTGTCGATTGTTGTCATAGTTTTTGGAATCTTAGCAACACTAACGTCAACGTTCTTTAACATGAAGGATTTTCAGAATTTTAGTTTTTGGTCACCCTGTATTCGAGTTTTCACTGAAGATACTCAACAACCATAAATGACTGTTTATATGTAGGAAAATATATTCAATTAGACAGCTACTTATTCAATTATCATGTAATTTTAAGTGGATACAATATTTTTAAATGTTGAAGAGGGGGTGTTGGTCACCCTGTATTTTAAATATTCCATAAATCAAGATCTTTGAAAATTGTCCAAAGAATTGACACATTGCTCTAGATATTCCGCATAATCAGAACTTGAATCTATCCATGCTTATCAGTCCCAGCCAATCATTCCACTCTGTAATCAAATTAAATTGAAAATAAAACACAAAAATCCTTAAACTTTAATTTTTCGAAAAAGATTTTTCATTTTTATTTGGCATTGTTGTTGATTTTGTTTTTTGTTTATCATTCCGATGAAGCAGAAATTGGTGAAAATGAGAAAATGTTTTATATAATTTAAGTTACAAAAATTATTGTATACAATTTCTAACCTTTAAATAGTTCACATTTTTTACGTCAGTATCTTAAAAAAGTTTTTAATAATAAAAAAAAATCATTTTTCTGTCCTAAAATGAGTTAATATATTAAATATGTTAAGATGATTTTCATTGGAGTATATTTCGTGTTTTTTTTTGAACTATAAATTATGAAATTTATTTTTCATCTATTTCTTTAAATATGATGACACGATTGATAGTATCTATGACTCTATTGGACCAAGTTCTTGAGTTTTACTTTCACTATTTTTTTTGTCTATTTTAGTTTTTTTATATTGAACACAAATGAATGATATTCTGGATGAGTTAAGCAAGTGTTGTGGCTAGAATTGAAATTTTATGAGATGATTTAGGCATCTTCTGATTTCAACTATAGTTTCCTGGTGTGAAGTTAGATTGAAGTTTAAGAAATTATTTGAATATTCCAAACCTGGTTGTTTAAGGTTATCTTAATTAAATTGTCAGCCTAACATCACACTAGTATTCTACCATTACTGCATTTTCAAAATTTAAAATTTTTTTTGGAATTTATTAAAATTTGAATTTTAAAAATATTTTGAATGAGTTTTTAAATAACTTCAGTTGAAAAAGTCTTTAATTTTTGAGTATAAAAAATGACTCAGTTTTGAAGGAAATGCGTCAAAAAAATTATTTCAAATAAAAGTAAATTTCTACTCAAATTCATATTTTGAGTTTCTGTCCAATTTTCAATCCAATAAATTTAATTTACGTTGTTCAATATCTAGGGCAGTGACTTTCGTTAAGAAATTCATTGTTAAATGTTTTATTAAATATGTTTTTTTTGATGTTTTATTTAAACTCTTTATAAAGGTACGGTAATTATTGTGTTCAATCATTAACTCCTTGTGCAACTTTTTTTCATTGCTAATCATTAAAATTTTTCATCTTGCTCGGAAATAAATGATTATTAAAACCTGTGCACATGCTTCAAGCTGCGAAAAAAAGTTTGTTTTTAAAGAATTGTGTCAATAAGTCTTGCTTAATAAATTTGCCATGCTGTCTGACATTAAATCATGCAGGTGTTTTAGTTCCTTAGACAAATTATTTTAATGAGCTTTAAATTTTTATGCTGCTTAAGTTTCTGATTATATTATTGATGGATTTAATATTTTGACGGATGAGGAAGGGGGTGGGGGCATGCATATGACACGGGAAAATTAAAGTTTTTTGGATTTAAATTAAAATTTCAAAAATTTTGATTTTAAAATTTTAAAAAATTATTGTTTTTATAATTTATCATTTTTGATTTTTTAAAAATATTTTCAAATTAATTCCTAAGCTAAAATCTCTTAAAATTTAAATATAACCCAATTTTCCCCCAACCCATCCTTATTCCTTACACATTCCTCATTAATAATTTTGCTAGGCTAATTAATATATTATTTTTGATTAAAAATCTTCAACATCTATTCTTTGAAGTGCACAAGCTTTTTTTTCTTTTTATAAAAATTCGAATTCATGCTACTCGTTCATATCAATATTGCCAAAATATGTAAATCATTTTGATTTTTATATGCGTTAAATTTACAATCAGAACATTTTTTTCTTCATTTTTTTATCCTTTAATAATTTTCTTAATATTTTTTTTTCATTCCATCCATCATATTTAGCATCTTTCTAAAACGAAATTTAAATCATATCACTTTGTGATGAATCTAGGAAGATAATAACTTAATGCATGCTAGCATGCATGCGAATAAAAATAAAATTCGAGGATTTCTCAACGAGGGGGTTTTATAGGATTTTTGACATAAATTTATTAATTGATTTTTAATGAAATTTTCCTGAATTAACTTAAATGACTTTTTTTGAGGTTGACATTTCAAATTTAAAAAAATTGATTTAAGATTTTTTTTTTCAAATTTTGTAATACTTTTTGAAATTTGATTTTTGTTAACTTTTTTATATTCGAATTCATGTTTAAAATTTGATTTTAACTTCAAAAAAATCACTTAAATCACCAGGACTAGGAACATGAAGGAATGATTATGTTTTTAATAGGGTTTTCAATCCCGGGATCCCGGATCCCGGGATCCCGTGATCCCGCGTTTTTTTGGTCCCGTAATCCCGGTATTGAAAACAGCTTCAATCCCGGTATTACGGGATTGAGTAAGTAGTTAAAATTTTTTAAAAAATTCTTAAATTTTGCAAGAAATACAAATAATTCGCATATTCATGACCAAGATCAAAGTCCACCATCAAGTATTATACATCATTAGAAAGGTTCTAACTTAAGCTATAATAAACTGGAAACAAAATTAAAAAATAGTTTGTTTTGTAAGAGTACTAGTGGTTTGAGTGATGAGAAAAGCATACAAGTCGTCAGATATCAAATGTACCCAATATCTCATCAAATTTTGAACTTTTTGAAAAAATTTCTTCACCATTTGTTTTGTAACAGTATTTTTAATTAGAAAACATGAAAAAACTTATTTGTATTCATTGATTTATATTTTTTATAAGCAATTTTAGTTTTTGGTTAAATATTCATCGACTCACTAAAATCGCTATAACTTTTTAATGCAGAACTATATTGGACAAAGTTCATACAGTTCTGAAAACTACAAGTCAAGGGCTACATGCTGGTGTGATTTTACCTCCTACTATTCTGCGATCTAAGATATTTGCGGCACGTTTGAAGATATTTTTCCACTGTTTTTCTTACATATCCTACCATAGCGGTACCAAAACTACAAAGTTAAAATCTTTGTGGAATATCAAAATGAAGCTCTCATATATTACTATTAGGAACTGAAAACCGTTTTTCAATATCTTTAATAATCATAAGGAACTTTAGATTTAAAGAGGGCATGAAAAAATCAGAATTTTCACTCATTTTCAACTTTAAACAGTCACAAAATCGCAGGAACAGCACCAAATGACTTGAAATTTGGCATAGAAGTCTATTTTTATGTCCTTTACAAGAAAGAATATACCTGAGTTTGTAATTCGAAAAAGTCCCAAAATCAAAGTGAAAGTCCCTTTTTTTCAATTTTGCCCCATAGTGTACTTTCCAAAATGAAAACCTTATTTCAAGATTATTAGTACTTAATTTTCTTATTTTTGCTTAATCATTAACAATAAACATACATAGAACAAATATAAAACAAGAGTTTTTCTCTCAAACGAAGATTTTATGTTTTATTTATTGAAAATTTTAAGGCTTCTTTAATAATCTCTTAATCCCGGGATTTCCCGGGATCCCGGGATCGAGAATTTTCAATCCCGTAATCCCGGTATTGAAAATTTGGACCGGGATTGAAAACCCTAGTTTTTAATAAATTTTACACATTTTTTTCATATAAATAAATTCTCCAATTTTTCAATAAAATAGTTTTCCATTCCTTCAATAAAATAAATTAATTAACAATTCAATTTTTCCACAAGGAATAAAATGTTTCTTTTCAAATCCAATTTTTTTTCAATAGTTTTCTTTAAAAATATTCAACAAATTTATTAATTTTTAATTCAACAAATTAAAGGAATTTTTAATTCAATTTTTTTGTGTGCAAAGAAAAACAAAAATTATAGTTGAGAAGAAAAAAAATTCTGTGATTTTAAAAATCTTTCTCAGTTTCTTTCACTCACTACGACAATAATCACAAAAATTTCGATAAATATATATATATAAGTTTTCTGTATAATAAGAGCTTATTTTTGGGGGCTGGCTTGGTAGAAATTTTAATTTTTTTTAAATTTACTAAAGTTTTTTGGAAATCTTAAGCAAATTTATTTTAAATTTGAAAAATTAAAATTCTTTAGATGTTTTAAAATTCCACCAAGGCCCTCCAAAAACTTTTATTGAAAAAACGTCATTCAACACTTTTCATTTCTTTATACATAACCTGCAGCTACAACTTAGTTCTTAATTTCATTTTCATATAATTATTGTTGACTTTTAAAATATATTTTTTATCAATTTTTTTGTTCATATACTTTCTCATTAATATATTTACTTCATAGATTATTAATATTGTGAGCTCATGCTATGCTGCAAATATCCATAAATCACAATTAATTATTATTCATATTTTTATTTACTTTATTATTGATTTTGTTTTTGTTTTAAAACTTTGGCAATCAAATTTCAATCATTCTCTTAGAAAGATTCTTTTTTTTTCATTCAGTTAAAAGCTAAAAAGTTTAAATGTTTTTTTAAAAAAATTTCTGCATTTAATTTGCAAAATTAAAATTTTCTTTTATCGAGCTTTGCTATTTAAAAGGTTATGATATCATTATGGGGGATAAAGAATTTGATTTATAGAGTAAGGCAATGATGGAATATTTTTTTAAGTGAAGTTTTTGCTTAAACCAGCAGTTCAGAACTGATCAAAATGATTAAAGCTATCTTTTTGCTAAAACTGATGCCAAACATTAAGTAGGTTTACATTTAAGTAGCAAACTATGACATCTGCCTAGGTTCGAGTCCCAGAAAAGAAATCTTGTCAAAACTTGTTGATATTATCATTTTGACATCTAGAAATTCATATTTAACTTAAATAATTTAAGCTTATTCCTGATGATCATTCATCCTAAGCAGCTATTCAGTTCCCATATCAAAGCGATGATGCTTAATAAGCTTTGTATCCTTCAATGCAACTCAAAGTTTGATTTCAATGATGATCAAAGTCTTACATTAGATTTTATAATCGATTATCTTATGATACTTAGTATCAGTGCCCAAAACAGTCATGGATGTAGTCTTGAGCAGTTTCGTTCCAGCACTTGCAGCTCTATCCATTTAATACTACAAACCTAATCCAACTTCACCTTAAAAAACATTCAATCATTGCCCCAATTGTGTATATTTAGGATTAGCTATGAAATGTAAGTGAAAATTCTAAACAATGAAAAACTTTCGATTAAATATGAAAACTATGCGGAAATAGCAACAATAAGTAAATAGGAAAATAAAAAGAGATCCACAATAAATCTGTGATATAAAAAAATGAATCATCAATAAACATTTGTTTGTTTTTCCTCTAAAGCTGATTGTGTTTCAATATAATTCTTATCATAGACTTTTTTACTATATAATATTCATCATCTTCATCTTCTCATGCATGATAATTTTTTTTATGAATAACATTTTTTATAGCTTGAATGATTCCTTAAAAATTTCTATTGAGCTCAAAAAAGTTGTGAAAGAATTAATTTTTGAAATAGTTTTGTTTTTTGGTTCATTTTCATTTCACGAGAGACAACAAGGAAGAGTGAAATTCGATTCCTAAAAATTTCCTCTAAAATCCGCTTGACGTCGATTAATGTCGAATAATAAAAAAATTCTCAGTGTTGTGTCCACAGCGATTTTTAAAAATTTATGCTATAAAATTTCATCTCCGACTCAAGCTTTAACATTAACCATTATCCGATGTTGAGGTAGTGCTTGCAAGTGACATTGGACGTTTGCCATTGATACCTGCACTGCTTGGTGTTGATGAGGTTTCACGTAAAGCTAATTGATAGGCGACTTCGAAGGCCTGACCTAATGTAAGGATTATTTCGGTTGCTAGTTCCTACGAGGGTGATAAGAAAGGGTTAAAATTAGGATTAGTAAGGTTTTTGGTCGAGATTTTAAGAATATATTGAAAAATTGTAGGGATCCTTCATAAATGACGTTTAAATTTAGAATTTAGAGGGGTCTTGATACTACATAACACATGACATCCTTATAACAATTCCAAAAATCAATTTTCATTTCAGACGTAACTTGTGAATGACCCCAAATTTCAAAATTCCAACTCACCATACTGTCAACATTGAACACATGACAATAATGAGTATTATTATCAAAATCTTTGGTAATGTATGCGAAGTGTGAAAGATCTTCGGCATCTTGACACGCGCAGTCGATATTCTTAACGCTAAGCAAATAGAACAAGAATAAGAAAAAAAAAACATTTTAAGTCTCAAGAGTCAATAAAATTAAGTCCATGATTCTTACCTGTGCTCACAAATGACACCTTGACTGTCAATATCAATGAATTGTACGCCTAAATGTGAGATTGCTAGGCAAACAGGTCGCTTTACGGTTTGAATTAGTGACGTGTGACTAGGCGATGATGATGTCATAAGTGCACCTTTCTTGAGTTTTTGGATTGATTTTCTGGTCGATTCTGTTCCGCGGAGCTCTTTAATGATTGTTGAACCGAGGTACTGATGGGATTAAAATGACAAGAAGTTTTAAAACATTTACAAAAATCGCAAACAACAGCAAAACTTACAAAAACTTCATATCGAATAGTTCCAGCAATGAGAGCAGCAGCCGAATGCTTCCACTGTGCCTGTAAGCTCCCTTGATTTGTCAACAGCAACTCTGATGGTGACCTAATCTCAAGATTATTAGCTCTTACAGGCGGTTGAGGTGCCATTCGATTCTTTTTATGTCTTGAAGATGACGCCGACCTCACAACAGGTGTAGGCTTGACTTTTTGCGGTTTATTATTGTTATCAGTTGATTCATCATTGTTAATGTCTAATGCGTTATTTGAACATGTATCTTCATTAATCTCCTCTATGTTTGGTGGTTCTAATCGTTGTCCAATTAGCGAATAAAGGATACGCTTACGATGACCAATTTTATTAATTTCTAGCACAGCTTGCAGTTCAATATCCCAGATTGTGTAGATTTTTTCCATATCAATGTACAAGTGCTTCCTGAAAATCAAGTTAGATTTAATTGAGAGTGTAATTTAAAAAACTATTATTAAGTAAGGAAGTAATTGAGGTTAGTGCATAAAGCGCATATTTTTCTAATGAATGCACAAAACTATTTTAATTAACTAGTTTCGATATTTGAGAGCCCAAAAGACAAGATCAGTTCTAGCAAGTAGCAAATCCAGTTAAAGAACAAGATTAATACCAGACTCGACCACCCAAAGTGGAATCTACACCAACACATCCACTTTGCAAAAAAAGGCACTTTAAAAATCAATTCGATTCAATTTAATAGTTCAGGTTCGCCGACTTACTTGAACACATCAACATATTCTTCAAGATGTATTGAGGTCAGCCATTGATCGGCCGTCAGAATTGGATGCTGATTATTATTGAGTTTATTATTCTTATTAGCTTCAAGTAGCGTCGGTGGTTTTGGTAATTTGAGAATTTCATTAAGTAGAACATGACGATCTTTCTCGGATATACCACAAATTTCTAAATCATTTTCATTCGCTATCAGTCCGTTGAGATAGTCGAGATTGTCATATCCATTCTCAATTAATTGTTCTTCTAAGTGCTCTAAATTTATTTCGACTAGCCATTTCTTTAACGGTGTGAGATTCTCATCAACTTCTGGTATTGGATCCTCAATAATCTTTCCATCACTTCCATTTTCTGACTTGAAATCCTTCAATCCTAATCGTTGTCTGAATTCATTCTCAATATCATTCACAAACACAGATTCACGTGCGATTCCACTTCCAAAAGATTCCATAATCTCTGATATTTTCGCCCATTCTTCTTGCTCATCAAATGGACTCATCAGAGTCACATTACGCTCTACATTCACTTCATCCGCATGATGATTATTATTGGTACTTGACGTCGTCGTCATGTGTGTTCGACTCGGATCATCTTTATGCTGTAAATGCTGTGTGAATGTTGATAAATGTGTCGTAAAGGTGCTATTTGGATTATTTAACGTCATTGTTGATCCCTTAAAAAGACCTGTGAATGGAATAAAATGAGACATAAGTCGTGATGTTAGATCGTGATAAGCCCGAGCTGTGCATAAGTTTGTGGACATGAATTTTATTTGTGGATTTTGGACAAATTTAAGGTTTGAGGAGACTTTCTCTATAATTATTGTTTCTAGGACAAAAAAATTCTTTTGACTAAATGCAAATGCTGACCCTGTCATAAAGCCAAGTCAATAACTGAACAGAATCACTACTCAAAACTACCTCAGCTGAACCTCAAAACTCCAAAATTCATGTCACACCTTTAAATTACTCATGTCCCCAATGCACACCTCGGGTTAAGAATGCAAACAAAACGTCTGAAGAAGAATGTAATGTAATTAATGGAAATGATAATGTAAACATGAGAAACTATTTAAATAATGTGAGAATTATAATATCACACACATGTATGGGCTGTTTATTGTTCCCACTTATATGGACTTGTTGGATGATTGAAATTCTGTATGGCTTGTAACATTTCTCTAATTTCATGTCATAGTTTTTAATTTGGTTATTTTGTGGGCTGTTATGAGCCTTTATACATTATTAAATTATCTCTTATTTTATTTATAGTAAAAAACTGCTTTTGTTTGTGGCTTGTCGATAATGAATTTATGGTTAATTTCCATTTGATTATAGTATTGTGCCTATAAAATTAATAAGGTTTATCATCGGAACTATATTTTGATGTCTGTAAATATATTTTTAAATGGGTAAGATTGCTTTTGGATGTTTATGTAGATTATGACTAGGTGGATTAAATTTCATATCCTCATTAATTTTTATGAATAGCAACTACTTATATAGTAATTATTAATGAGTCCTTTTGATTTCTTGTGCTCTAAAGTTTTTGTAGTCAAATTTGAGTTAAATCCTTTTTGGATTTGTTTATAAATGACGTCAATCATAAAATGAGAATATAGAGACTCCCAGGGGTTATTCTCCACCCTTGTCTTGAGTATATTAACTGATTTGAAGACCTTTTCCTCGTTAAATGTTCTTATTCAACTCACTAGGACTCTTTAGGTCTATAGAATGGCTTCTTCGTTTCTCCTACCACTCATCTTTCTGTTTGAAGGACTCTATTTATCAACCGTGTAGCCTTAAATGGCCTGGTTGATGAAAATATTAAGACTTCTTATAAACGTTGTTCCTGACTATTTCTATTCAATTTTAAACATCATTTTCAAACTATCCCCTCAACATAAACCCATAAAACATCTTTCAGACCCAACTTTTCTTATAGACTTTAAACTTTTTGTGCAAGAAAGTGTTTCAATAACTTAAATGGTACGAAGCAATACACAATTTACTGTCTGTATCGATTTCATTGAAAAATATTTTTTTTTATTATTTACCCCAATTTTCTTGCGATTTTTATGGCTTCTCCTTCACATGATTCATATCGTCAATTTATTAATTATTCTCAGAATAAGACATTTTCATTGCTCGATATAATCCATGGAGACCATATGGTTATGAACCAATAATTCATATTTTTTTTTGATTATCTATTAAGTCCTCGGGATGATGACGACTCACAAGTTTCTGACTATCAGATGGTCATCATGTGGCTGTTATTATTTCATAATTCTGTTTATTTTATCGCTTTTCGGAAGCTGTGAGACATAAAAAAATTTAAAATCGATATTTCTTATAAAAATTGTCAGTGTCGCATTTATTAAGAACTAACTGTTTATGTCATTTGATACATAAACATTTATATTTGTAGATGATGTGTGGAATTCTTTGTTAATTGGATGGCTTTTAAAATATTCATTAGCAGCTGACTTTGTGATGAGCAAATTAAATAAATTCTAGTAGTTTATGATAAGTGGATTTGTAGGATGACATTGACATTAGTTTTGAAAATTTCTGAATTGGAACTAGATTTTAAAAATTCAAAATTGTACATCAATCTAATTACTCTCTTTAATTCATCATAATAATAGTAATATAAAGCCATAAAATATTAACATATACTTACAATGTCATTCCAACCCAAATTCATTAAAAATTTAACAATTCAAAAACTTTCAATCTAAAATATTCAACCTAATCCATAATTCCTAATCCTAATTGGATTCAACTTGATTACACTTGAATTGATTAATTTATTGGAAAACTTTTCCATATCATTCCTAAAATCCCATCAAATATGTCATAAATTTCCCATTTAATTACAAAGTCATTAGAATATTGTCATAGACATAGTTTTGAAGTTTCTAATGAATAGAATCATAAAAATTTTAATTTCTGTTTTTTATTTACTGATGCATCATAGTCATATCCATTCGGTATGTAAATAAGTATGCATTTTTAAGTCATTTAATTTCCATAACATTAAAACTGGATCTTATATTGTTTATAGTTTCGAATGATAAACGGCATCGATATCTCTGGAATTTATTAGACATAAACAAGATATTTCATGCTCAGCATTTGAAAAATGAGTTTTGACTACTTTTGACAGCTAAACACGATCAAACTTTGTTTTATAGCAACAACCTGCTTGTCAAATGACTGTCATTACATTTTTCTATAGTTTCAGCATAAAATTAATGAAATTGCAACAAAAAAGATAAATGATCATTTTCAAGAGATAGACTAAACATTCAAAAGGGGTTGTTCATGAATGATGTCAGTCAAAAATAAGATATAAAGTCAATTTTAATTTGATTCTAGCCTTCAAACTTATTTCTAAGACGTTATTTGCAAAGATTCATCAAACTAGATCCATAAAATTGCCATTCAAGATAAAAATTGCCATAAAATCCCACAGACCGATCATCAAGATAAACATTTTCCTATAAAATGTGTTTACAGCAACTTGTGGAGCCACAAACAATGATTTAGATGTGAAAATTACACATTTCTGTCAGAAATAATTACAGTATGGATTAGATAGACGAAACAACAGCTACTTTAAATGATTATATGTAGGCACAACACGAACCAATAATAATTTGCGACTCTCGTAAACCAAAAGAAGAAGCTATCGATTTTTTTAAAGAAATAAATAACAATAACTATAAAAATAATGAAGGTAATATTCAACATTGACTGCTTATGGACATTCTATTGGATAGAATAAAAATTGATTATACGCGACAAAAATGAACAAGAACTTTTTTTAAAATATTTTCTCATCGGACTTTTGATTTATGTCATTAAAAATATCCAATTGAGTATGTAGAAAATGTCTTATTAGGTAGCGATGGACTTTGTTGTGTTTTTTGTCGTCTTATGACATTTCTATATTCATTTGTGTATTGTGGATTGACAAATGAATTTAAATTGCTTTTAGTGATTTTTTGGATAATTTTAAAACTTAATGAAGTTGTTTGATGCAAAAAAGAATTCTATTTTAAAAAAGCTTTTGACATTTTAATTTCAAAATTCTAGGATTTGAACCTTTTACTTTATAATAACAATAATCTCAAATAAGAACTGTGATTTACTGTCTAAACATTTGTCAATTTTAAAACTTGAAATTCAAAACTGCAATTTACATTCATTAAGCATTAAAAATCCTGTTCGACCTACTTTTATAAAATTCATGACATTTCAATTTGAAAATATATTTTTTTAATAAAATCACATCCACTTGTCTCCGAATTGGCACTTCAAATGACATTTTAATAATTTCAATGATAATAAATTAGTCATCAATCAAATTGATATCACGAATTTGAAAATAAATTGTCAATCTTCCTTCTCGTTCACAGACTAGCGCCTCTCAAGCTGACACTTTTATCATTAAATTTTATTTGTTTTTATTTTTCGCACTTCCTCGCTATTTACGTAGATTGTTTTTTATGTTATTTTCACGTCCATTTAATTTATTTTTAAACACATTACAAACTTTTTTGTTATTTTTAATTTTATGTGTTGTTTCAAGTTCAATGAATTTTTATAACAATTAATGTCTCAAGTTCATCGCACACGCTATTGCTCGAAAAAACCACAAAATTTATTATATTAAGCCAATTTTTTGATACTTTTTGACACAAACAAAAAAAGAAGTGACTGTCTTAACTGTAATCACATGTTAGTACATTCCAATTAGCACCATAAAAAGTCATGAATCAACCTGTTGAACGCGGCGTAAGTGAGACTCTTGTGAATCATTTTAATTGAAAAAGTTGAACATATTGTTGTTTTGTTGTAGCTTTTGTAAAAAAGTAAATTATTTTTTGTATTCTTTGGAAGCAAGTATGGTGAAATTTACGGTTGATAAGAGGAATAGGGCGCTTTTTTGGGGGACTATTGAGGTATATTTAATTTTTTAGAATATAATATGAGTATTTTTTAGAGTATAGACCTGTCATTAAAGTCCAATTTAACTTTAGAACTCTGCTAGGGATCGATTCAAAGCTAATGAAAGTTTTGCAAGCTAGATTTGAACGATCTTAATAGAATAACCTTGATCTTCAGTTTTAAGAAGGATTCGAACTTATTCTTTGACGAGATTACTATCTGGAGCCTATAAATAGCCTTAATCATGTCAACGCTACCTTGTTGAGTATCGAACTTATGATAATTACATCAGCATTGCCAACTTAATGATCTTAAAGCTCCAGATCACTATACAATCAAGATAACTTTATCTAATCCAATACAATCCCTTAAGACCCCTGCCAACATGTTAAACTGCTCATTTTAATTTATGTTCTCACTTTAAATACATCCAAAATGTTTAAAGACAATGCCATTGTTATTCTGTTCTTTCAATCATGCAACACATATCTATTCAAGTGAAACAGACAAAAAAATTGAGTAATCAAGTGTAATTTTTGCATGCTATTGTGCGGACTTTAAACTATACATTTATTTATTTATTTGTTTCATGCATTTCATAGACTTATTTTTATTGTTGCAATAAATGCAAGAAAGGAATACGCGAATGCTATAAACTATAAAAAAATTGTAGACAGTACAAAAGGCATAGCGAGAAATAGAGAAACAGAGTGCGAGAGACTGTAA